ACCTCCACAAACAGCGGGGGTTCTAGTCCTGGCTCTTGGGCGCTGTTCCCTTGGGCCAGCTACTTGTCTGAGCCTTGGCTTCCTCAAACTATAAAATAAGGTTAATAACAATTAAGAAGGGTGACTTAGAGCCCTAGAGGATTACCATAAGCAAAATTCTTGGCACATCCAATGCCCAATGAATATTAGATTCTTCACTTCTTTTTCTGCATTAACCATTTTTGCAAAGACAGAATCTTGCAGTGTCTCTCCCAAGCTGTGGAGCTGATGCCTAGTATGAAGCCCAGGGCGGCCACTCACCAGTTTAGGGACCTGGACTTGGTCAAGTTGTCCATCCTCTCCAAGCCCCTGGGTCCTCCCTGGGAAGAGGGAGTTGATGCCTAGCTGCAGGTGGCTGAGTGGCTGCACCGTCGTAATGCCTCGTGAACACGTAGCTCTCACTGCGGTTGGCCCGAATGAGATGGGGCTTCACTGTTAGTTTTCACCCCTTCACTGAGATTGTAATTATTCTGTATCCGATTGGGCATCTTTTGGCTGCCAAGTACGGTTAGAAAGGTAGGTCTGCTTGGTGGCTAAACTAGCCTTGGTTGATCTGTGCTCCTTGCTCATTGAAAATAACACAACATTTAATTAAGGCTCCAGCCACTTTGTTCTTACCTTTCACATTTCCGGCTCCAGGGCTATTGCCAACAGAGTACAGACATACTGTGAATTCATTTCGTAAGATCCTTGGGCAGGTTCTTGGCTCATCAGTCACAACAGCACTTGTCAGTCCTTCTCCCGGGAGTGTGACCGCATTTATACCCTCTTCTGCCCAGACCCATCAATCTGGTCGTTTCCAACATCAGGCCCGGTTGTGGCACTCTGGGATCATATCTTGGAGGGCAGGGAAGTAGAGAGGAATGAGGCAAAAAAGGAAACAAGTTTTGTACCTGAGAAACCACGATTTAAATCCCAGTTCTCCCACTTGGTTGCTGTGTGACCATGAGCAGGGATTCTGTCTCTGATCCCTGAGTGTTTCTTGTATGTAATTGGAATATCAGTGTCTCTCTCATAGGATGCTTGAGAAGGAAAAACAACAGAGAAGATGCCAAAAGTGGAGGCTCAATAAATTATATTGTTGGAGAAGAAAAGAACTGTTTCCTCTACCCTCTTAGGTTCAGTGACCAGGGCATTGCAAATTGAGCTGACAAATGACAGATTAACAGGAAAAAAGGATTATATCATATACTTAAGGGGAGCCTCCCAAAAATGACATGAAAACCCTAAAGAGGTGGCCCGACCCTGCAGCTTAAACTATTTTAACAGAAGGAGGATATATTTATGGGGAAATCACAAGAAAAGGAAAAGAATTTTGAGCTTTTAGGATGCTAAATTGTGGAAGGTGAGCACCTGGGGACACTAAGAGAAGACAGAAGTTAGTTTGGTACAGTTTGTTTGGGCAGACCAGTCTTGGCGCTGACTTTATGACTTTGCCATGGCCGTAAAATGCCCTGGGGAGAGTGAACTTATGGAAGTCCTCATTTCTAAGAAGTTTCTGCTCCTAGTCAGATAAGGGAGGCTCTGAAAAGGCTTCTTTCTGCACCTGTTGATTTTCAACAACCTTCAGCTCAAAATAATCCATATGCCGAAGTGGGATAGCATATTTGGACCCCATCCAGTATGTTATGCACTGTTGTTATCATCATATCAATACACGAGTAGCTTTTCTGTCAGTGTCACTGAGAAAAAATGATGATTCATGAATAATTATCCAATAATAGTCATGGGGAGTGCAGTGAAATAATAAGTCATTTTTAGGTCAGACTTTTGGACATCTGATGCAGTCGCTGTAAAACATTACTTTGTGGTATGTAATTCCATCCATGTGGGGACTGTTATCTGTGTCCCTTTCTCCTAGAGTGCCAGTGCTTTTCAGGTACCATTACTTTTATTTGTTAAACATGCACATAGCACTTGCTCTGTGCCAGACACTGTTCACTGTATTTTATAAATTTAACATGTTTTAGTCCTCATAATAGCTTTGGGTGAGGAAACCAAGGCACAGAGAGGGTTAGTGACTTGCACAGCAGCAAACGGCAGAGCCAGAAAGCAAAGCCAGGCAGGGTCCCTGCTTAAAACAATGATGCCATGAACTCCACAGGTATTTTTGAGTGAGTGAAGGTTAAGGAACTTGACCCAGATAGCACTAGCCGAAGGCCAACTTGAGAATCATATCCAGTCTGTCTGGCCTTAAGCCCAGCTCCTCCCTCTCCCCTAGAGTGCCCCACAGTGTCCTAGGCCCACGCAGGGAGACCTGGGAGGTCTGACCTCCTGGTTTGGCGGAGAGGCGAAATCCAGCCAGTTCTGCTCGTGTAAGCTTTGAAGGTGGACAGGGTGCCACCCCAGCTCCCACAAACCACTCCACGCTGCCTCCATCTCTCTTGCTGTTCTCGTTTTTCCTTCTGGGATTGGATGGGACTGAGAGTGAAAAAGGAGAAGCTTATTAAAAGCATTTCCCCAGCAGTGGGGAAATGCTTTTAATAAGAAGAAAGAGCTATCTGAAGGCCAGAGAGTGTGATGCTCACAGTTCTGGCCTCATGTATTGAAATCTGCAGACTCTGTTCAGTACAGCAGAGACTTAGCTGAGCAACTACCCAGGGCTGGTTCCACAGCAGGCCTGCGGTGAAAGCAAGTTCTCTTTAATAAAAAAAACTATGGTAGCCCCAAATATTACATGAGATATATTTTTTAAATATGCAGGTATCTCATATGTAGCTGGGTAGCCTGTATTTTTATTGGCTAAATTTGGCAACCGTACTCCAAGCACATAGCTGATATGGCCGATGGCAAAAAACAAAAAATTTGACAGAAGGAAAAATGCATTTTTTTCCAAGAACAAAATCAATAGTAATTGTAGTCTTAAAATAACAAATGTTACCATCATAACTCTTCATAAATGGAAGAGAGTAGTTAACACAATAAGGCTGCAGTCAAAAATAGAAAGAAAGGCACATCTATTATACAGATGTGGAGAATTACTTTTTTGCTGTAAGTTTATGTCTGTTCACTCCCTATGCTTCTGATGTGATGCTGGGCCCCAGGATGGACACAGAGAAGGAAGAAAAGGAGAAGAAGAAGAAGAGAGAAAGATATTAGAACAAGTGAGAATTCAGATACCCAAGCAGATCCCATACTCCAGAGATTATACTGGGTGCCGTATTTTGGGATTTCATTGAATCGTCACAAAATACCTGCAAGAAAGCTATGACTGTCCATTTGACACACGAAGCTCAGAAAGGTGATGTCCTGCCTGCACAGTAGTTGAAGTACCAGAGGATGGAGCCCTCACGTAGTTTGCCATGTTGCCTGCCCACCCCCCACCCATTACCCCTCTGGTGGGGAAAATGCTAAACCCTGGACTCACTAGTCTCTCTCTCTCTGTCTCTCTCTTTGGTCTCCCTTTCAATGGAGAATGAAGCCCTGCTGGCCTTACCTGTGAATTAGGTACTCATATATCTATCGCCTCTAAGTTGCTAAACAGCTTGAAGGAAGGGGCGTGTCTGACCTGTCCCTGGGTCGCTAGCCTGCATGCAATGACTGGTTTATGTGTTAAGCACCTACTGTGTGCCAGACCCTGGGTTAAATGCTTTGTATTTAGTACTTAAATCCTCACAAAAATCTGTGGACTAGTTTCTCTTATCCCCATTTTTCAGAGGAAAACTGCGATTCATGGAATCAACAGAATTCTGAGAGTAAGAGAACTTTGAGAAAGCCCCAGCTTCTTGCCCCCCATACGTCCCGTCTGTTCAGGTCAGCATCCAGAATAAACACCACTCAAGTATCTACTGATAATTCAAAAGCAATTTAAATGTTTACTAGGATCTTTCAAGAAAATTCCAAAGGCGGTTCCATCTCTAACAAAGAGCAGAATGTCTCAAAATACAATTTACCACGAGGCTGCCCACTGCCTGAGACATTTTCCTCTCCCCAGTGCATTTTCTCCTGACTTTTCTCCCTCTTTACATTTCACCATCCGGATCTATTCCATTCTCTACCAATAGCAAGTTTCTGCTCTTTTCAAATCAAGTCTGTACAGCCCACAGGCTAAATGGGCCTTACATTAATACCTACACATAGAGATTTTATAGTTATTAAGGGATAATGTGCATCAGATAGCCTTCTGTGTAGTGTCTGACACACAGCCCTCAATAACTTTTCACCATTATTCTAATTAGTCTCAGCTTTGCAGCTTTAACTATCATGGTGATTTTGCATAGCAGATGCCCAGTTCTGCAGAGAAGGAAAGAGTGTGAACACTCATATGTGCTTTTTTTCTATTTTTTTTTATTATTTAGTATATTATATTTCTATTTATAAGCAGCACTCGTGCTGTATTTGAAAGTTATATCCCACCTAAACAGCTAGAAAACCTATGGAAAAGATACTAGTTCCCCTCCCATATTCCCAGATTTCCTGCAGCTATGCAGGTCACAGGAGTAATTCTAGCATGGGCTGTAAATAAAAGTGTGTCACTCCTGCCAAGAATTTAACCCTCCAGCTCTCTCCCTCCCACTGCCACAGTGAATCCTGTTATTTGAAAGCATCTGTTCTGCACCTTCTCCTGAGGCTAGTGCTGAGACCTGTTCACAGCATACTTACCTCTGCGAGTTAAGAGTGCAGGGAGGCCAGGGACCAAATGGAGAGCTAGAAGACAGAGGAGCCTCCATTAACCAGGGTTCCTGAGTGACTATGTGGAGCAGAGTTCACCAGTTTGCAGTGAAGATAGACTATAAACAAGAAATCAACTTCCGCTATTGAATTAAGCCAGTAAGATTGTGGAGTTAATTTGTTACCTCAGTATGACCTAACTTACCGAACTATACAAAGCCTTCTATGGTTACATTTCTAATGACTCCCCATGCAATGTTCTCAAGGATATTCTGCATCAGCGTGGTTAGAAGTCAATGTGTTTCCTCCAAGTGCTTGCTTGCTTCCAGGTGGGCCAGAGTCTCACGAACATGCTGGGCTTCCTGGTACCTGGTCCTCTGGTGAGACTGTGCGTGGGCCTTGCATGTGTCCTGTCCCTTTGGAACACAGGTAGGTCTGGCTGAAGTTCAAGAAATACCTGTTCTATATATTACGTTTGGGTATTTATTGTGTTTAGAGAAAGGCAGTGGTCAGTGTTTCCGTCCAGAACCCTAAATGAGTTTGATCAAAATAGCAATAATAAATTCCCCAAGTCTGGTTTTGTCCCTTGACTTTTTATGTTTGAGTCCTATTTATGCGACAGAATCATCTTCACCTCCACTGTTAGGGTCCTTGTCCAAACCATTGTCTTCTCTTTGCTGGACCACTAAGCAAGCTAACCCATTTCCCTTGCTTCTCCCCTTGTCTCTCCATGATCTATTCTCCACCCCCCAGTCTGCGTGATCTTTTCATAAGCTTCTTTATGTCACCTTCCAAGTTCCTCCCTCATTCTCCCCTGCAACAGGCAAATGAGAAGGTGTTCTTCTAGCTCACTCTGCTTGGGCAAATTCCTTGGCTTCTATGAGCCTCACTTTTTCTCTCTGTACAATGGAAATTGGACCATATCTCAGGATCTAACAGCTGTAGTAATAGTTCCTATGAGCTGTTCACTGCTTCATGGTCACAGAACACCTGGATTGTCATGATCTTATTGAATCCACAAATTGTGACATTCTATTAGCAATAGGAGATTTCATAATGGGGGGTATTGTTATGTGCCAGCATCACCTTTGTAATAAATCTGTCTTTCTTTACCTTTTTTACTTTTCCTGCTGGTATGAAATTGGCTGTGTGGTAAGGCGGTGAATGCATTACATCATAACGCACACATAGGAGTCAGGGGCTTGGTTTCTGTTCCTAACTTTTTGGTAAACAAGCAGGATAATCTTTTGTGTGCTTTTGGGTTTTGGGGGAGAGGATTACTCCTTATTTTTTAAATTTTATTTATTTTTAATTAGTGTAATTCATGTGGTTCAAAATGCAAAAGGTACAAAGTTTCTAAACTTAAAATGCTGTTCCAGCCAGCCACTTCCCTTCCCCAGAGGACACCAATTGTGCCAATTTCTTGTGGATAAGCAGGGCAATTTTTAATAAATATATTCCCTATTTGAGCCTCCAATCTCCTCTTTAAGTGGGAACCTTTATTGCTCTAAAGTAATAGTAAAAGGTAAAGAGGAAAGAATACTAAACCTGAGTAAGTATGAAAAGTGCCAATACCTTTTCTCTTAAAGATACTACCATGGTGCTCTTTTAATCCAAAGAAAAAGGAATAATAGTTTTATATTATCTGTCTGGCAATGTATCTGAAAAATGCTTCCATTAAACATCCTATTCAAAAATCCATACTTGAGGGGTGTTTAGTTCAGACCTCAAATATTGTTACCAAAATTCACCCACAGGTTTGTAATTATACGAAGTGGTAGAATTATTGTTTCTTTGGTGAAAGGAGTGATACTCGAGAAAGTTTCCTGGTTAGGAAGATTGTGCAGGACCCCCCAACCAGGCTTGACAGGTGTAGGACTCCTGCCAGCCCAGCAGCCTGGAGCGTCCCTGGAGAGTAAAGATGCAGAACTCACACAATCCTGGTCCCCAGCCCCAGGGAGGACTTGCTTTCCTGGCCAGGGAAAAAGCAAGGTCAGTTGATGGTTCCCCCAGATATCCCTGCAGCTGCTTTAGAGCAGATTTACGACTCACGGAGAGCCGCTCAGGGCACGGGAAGGGAGTGAGCAGGACCCTCCCAACTCAGAGCACAGGCTGTCTGACAGCTTCTGGCCTGCTAGATAAATTAATGCCTCTCTCAAAGTTCCTATTGTTGTAACATAACCTGCCCTCTCCAGGAACCATGCTGTAGGGAAGGGGATCCATAGGCCCCACCTACCTGTAACCCCAAAGCTCTGATGTTTAACCAAAAATGCCTGATGATTGGTGAAAGGTCAAATTGGCTTAAACAGGCAACAGTTGACTGGACCTACGTTCCAACAGGGTACTTGAAAAGCAGAGAGCAACCTAAATGTCTATCCATATATGAATGGATAAAAAAAATGTGGTAGATACATAAAATGGAGTATTACTCAGCTTTAAAAAAGGAGATAATCTTGCCATGTGCAACAACATAAATGAACCTGAAAGATGCTATGCTAAGGTGACATATGCCAGGCACAGAAGGACAAATACTACATGAGCCACTTATATGAGGAATCTAAAAAACAGTCAGGCTCATAGAAGCAGAGAAAAAGGCAGTTGCCAGGGACTGGAGAGCACGGGAAATGGCCGCTAGCCCAGTGTGGGATGGAAGTGTATCACTTCATTTTCCTGGGCCTCAATTCTTCGTCCTTCAAAGGGAGTGTTGGACACTATGATTTTCAAGGATATTAGAAATTGTGTGAAGCTGTGCTTCCATGATACTATTTTATTCATGAGAACTTTTATTTTTAGTGTCTGGAAATAAAGATGTTAAGAAAGAAAAAGATGTGGCTTTCCTTGGTGCAACAGATAACTAGACCGGCCTTAAATTCTGACTTACTCTGTAATGTTGTAATAATTAATGTTTTAATGTTCATGTATTTTAGAATACATAGGGATATATTTAGCAAAATATATACATTTTATTAGATATATCTATTTCCCACCAGTCTCTACTGTCTCCAAATGCACAGATAAAATATCACTAAAATCAGTGTGCCTTGTTCTTCACCCAGATTTGTATCTACTCTAACTTGTCACAATATATGCCACTGGCTGTCACCTCCTGAGGACAAAATATGTCTAACAGAAATACATTAGGACATATGTTTTAGCCTCCCTGTCCTTGTTTTTTCTGTCTATAAAGGGCCATAAGGCACCTTCTGCATTAGAATGTGGCAAATACTACATGAAAAATAATCATTGCAACAGTGTTAGCAGCAGATGAGGTACCATCAAAAGGCATCTAATGAAAACTGCTGATCTTTCAGTCTCAGCTGTAAGTCACTGCCACAGGGAGCTCTCCTCCACCCCTTACAGCAGGTCAGGTGCCTTGATGGAGGTGCTCACGCAAACCTACAAACCTGCTGTTCCTTGTTGACACTCCTCATGTGCGATTACACGTGAATCTCCCTCCTCCTGCGCGAGGGACTGCAGGGAGCTCCATGTAGGTGGAGACCCAATCCTTTCCTTGACCTCTTTATACCCAACCCCCAAGCATTGCTTGGCACTCAGTGACTATTTGTTGAATGAATAAAGGTTGAATGAAGGCCCTGACATTTCAACTTTCCTTTGACGTTTTCTTCTTTGATAGTGTGAACTTTGCCAAGTGGGCAAGCAGCCTGATATTTTGGAAAAGACACTGCTCTGTGGCTCTAGGAAGTAGGTTCTGGTCCCTTCATTACCAGGGCTCACCTGTGAAAATTAGGTGCATTTTCTTTCCTCTCTGAGCCTCAGTTTCCCCAGCTAGTGAAGAGATGGGGTGGGGTAGCCCCCCTATGTCAGAATCACCTTATCTATTTATTAAAACATGGATTTCTAGGCCCAGCCCAGTTCAAGGAGACTAGAATATCAATCAGGGGAGCAAGATGCCTGGAATCTGTTTTTCACAGTGTCCCCATCACTGAGCCTGGGGCCGCTGCAGTAGAGGACCCTGAGCCTTTTCCAGCGCCGTGGGGCTGGAGCTGGAAGCTCCTGTTCCTCTCCTGAACCATTTCTCTCCCCAGTGTCTGGCTTTGAAGGAGAAGAGAAGAAGGAACAGGGGATGGCCTTTCTTGATACCACAGGTAAGTCCCCCCTACCCTGTCCCACTCCCCTACAGGCGGCCTGGGCTGCCAGCAAACTCTCCACTTACCTGGACCTCCATCCTAATTCCCTGAGTGAGGGAGCAGCGTATGTCCAATCTTCAGATTGCTTCCTCCACACAACCATCAGAATGTTATGTAAGAGTTGAAAAAGACCGTTTGTAAAAACATACAGGAGGGAGTATCAACCCGAATTTCTACCTTGCCAGCTGTTATTTTCCCGTCTTCAGGGAATCAATCACTGGGGGAAGGATGGTTCTAATGGCGCAGCATCTCTGCACCTGGTGGTGCACTGCCAGCACCTGGGATTGATTGATTGATTGACTGATTGGTTTGGGTACCAATGCCTGGGCCACATCCCAGAGCTCTTAAGTCTGGGCCTCTGAGGATGGAGCCCAAGACCTGCAACTGTGGAATTAGACAAAGAAATCTTTCTGGGTGATGCCAATGCCCAGCCAGGGTCTGCTGACCACAGTAGTTACTTCCAATACTGTGCCGTTGAAAATCCATGTGATTTCCCTGGGTATTACATGCGAGTATTTCCCACCAATTTCTACTCCCTCCAAATGCACAGATAGAAAGTCACTAAAATCAAACGGTCCTCGTACTTTACCCAGACTTGTATCTCCTCTAACCCATCGTGAGGTATGCCACTGGCTGTCACCTCCTGAAGACAGGAACTGCCTCATCTCCGAACCCCTTGAGCCCCGCACTGGGAGGGTTTCAGGAAACATCACAGAAGGGGCGCGTCTGCCTCAACACTGGAAATGCCTCTGTTGCCCAGAAAAGCCCTCCAGTGACATTATCTTCCGATCTCTTCCAGAACTGCCCGCAAGGTCAGTTGATCTGTCAGCACTTAACCTGACAGAGCTGGTGAATGGGATGCTGAGGAGAGCTTTAAAAGGTAGCCCTTTTTTAAAAGTACAATCCAGGCCCATCTTTGTCTCGTACCAGCTTCCCTTCTCGACTCTGTGTGACCTGGACCGGTCACGTCTCTATGTCCCAGCTTCTTTGTGTTCAGAGGCAGAAAGTGCTGTCTTTCCTAACACTGATGAGATGAAAAACATAGATGAGATGATGTAGGGGGCCTGCCGGCACTTTGCAAGCAAGCTGCAGTCCGCACATGGCGCATCTGGAGGCATTTCTAACCCTAACCGCACTGTGAGAGAGCTTAAGAACAGATCAGGAAATACAGCCAAGCAACATGTACTTTTGCATTTTTTGGTTTGCTTTTATTTGATTCTGTCTATTCTTTTCAGTTTTGATTATGTGATGGTTTAGTTTTGTTATTTATTTTTATTATTTGTTCATTGTATTATTAGTTTCTACTATGTTTACTGATTCCTATGATCATTTACTTACTGCTAGTAAGCGTAAGTCTGTTTCTGTATCTCGCTGTCTTTGGCAGACAGCAAGAGGTTCTTCTCCTTGCTGAGCATCACCTCCTACAGTTCCTTTGCCTTCCACAAGTTGTCTGTGGCCATTTACAACAGTAAGTGCTGCCAGGCTCTTTTTAGAGGCGATAATGGTGAGTGATGGGCCGGCAGGACCACGTCCTGGTTGCTGTGTGAATCCTTCCTCTTCACAGTTTCCAACCTGAAGACCGTGGACCCAGTGAAATTCCCCACACGCTACTGCTACTGTCTGAACAATCGGACCAGTGACGTATCAGGTGGGTGGAACTGACCCTGAGGCTTGCAGCTTTCGGGTTTTGCTTGTGCCTTTGTAGATAAATTTGAATTACATTTTTCTCCACAGAGTAAAATAGGCAAATAGAGTGATATCTACTGTACTTAAATAGGTGCACATTGTCCCAGAAAGTCCTTTTCTTGGTTTTGACCCTGGAGAAATAGTGAAGTCTGCGCAAAGGGTCAAGAACAAAATGTTCATGAGGCACTGTTTCAGCAGCAGAATCTGAGACCAACATAATCCCCAGCTTTAGGAAAATGGTTACATTACATACCGTATAAGCAAACGTTGGAAACAGCCAGAGATGGTACATAAAGGAAGGCGGGTAGCCAGATTTGGCCTGCATGTGGAAACTTTTCTATGGAATTTTTAACTAGAAAAAGAGAGCTACAAAGAAATAGGTAGAATGCAATGTCATTGGTAAAAAAATGGAAAAGTATCTGGACACCAGGTAGATGATTAGCTCTGAAAAGAAGACTGGGTGTGTTTTAGAGTGGAAGTGTGCTGACTAAAGGGGCCATATATTATCTGATTTCTTTCTCAATGAGTATATTCATGTACTACTTTTATAAAAATTAAGAGTATTATGTGTTTTATATATTTAGAGAATTCTGAAAAATAAAAATGAAAATACTCTCTCATCACTAATTCACCTGTTCAACAATTCTTTATTGAGCACATACTGTTAGCCAGACACTCTTCCAGGTGTGAGGGTACCATGTGGGGGCAAAGTGGACTTGGCCCCTGCAGTCATGGACTTCAGTTCTATAGGAAGGTCAGACAGTAAACGGATAGACAGGAAGTACCCTGTCTGTGGGCTAACAGCGTGGCCATGAGAACAATAAAGCAGGGAAAAGGGTGAGGGGCAAAGCAATGGATGCTGTGGCTGAGGAGGTCAGGGACGTCTGCTCCAAAAAGGCAGAAAGTGGGGAGACAGCCTGTGGTACCTGGGGATGGAGTGTTTCAGGAAAAACTCAGTCAGCAGAGGGAGGACTAAACAGGCCAGTGTGGCAGGAGCAGGTGAACCAGAGCAAAGGGTCTTGGGAAATGAGTTGGGAAGTGTGGGGGCGAGGCAGAGAGGGTGTTGCAGATCACGTGCACGTTTGTAGTGTGCCACAGGATTTTGATTTTTTACTCTGAATAAAAAGGAAACTATTGTGATTTTCTACACAGGGGAATGACATGATCTAACATACATTTTAAAGGGATCCCTCTGACTGTTAAAAAAATAGACTGTAAGGAAAGCAAGAAGATGAACAAACTTTCCGCTCTTTTCCCACTTACCTAATACTAAAAATATTTTTCCATGATATCACAAACTCTTTGCAAACATTTGTATAGCTACCTAAGCTACGAATTACAAGCATTTTCTTAGCCAGTATGCTGTTGGACTTTAAGGTGTTTCCCAGGTTTTTCTTAACATAAAATATCCTGTATTGGACATCTTTGTGCAGAAACCTTTCCCCTGTTACAGATAACTTTCTGAGGATAGATTCCCCAAAGTGGAATTTCTGGAACAAATATTGTGAACATCTTCAAGAGAATAATTATTATTGTTTTAATGAGTCCTGTATGCCAGACCCTGTAGTAAGTACCTAATGTTCATTATCTTATTTAACTCACCTTCTAAATCTCATCAGCAAACTCCATTTGGGAGAGAAAATGTTCTTCAGAATCACATCTTTCTCACCATCTCACAGATCCCTACTGGGAGCCAAGTTTTGTGCAGGCATTGAGTCCCTGCTCTGGTTGTGTGAAAGATAAAAATGGAATTTAAAAAGTGGAGTCCCATCTGCTGGGAAAGAGGTTGATAATTCTATTTGGTGAGACAATGTGTATTTCCATATACTTGAAATGATTATTTGACAAGAATTGACCCATGGATCATTACCATTAATAAAATAGCATGCCGCCACTCTGGTAAGCCATAACAATTTTTTACAAGGTTTGACACATCACATTGATTATCCTCAAACTGCCACCATGAGAGTCTGCACACTTAGGCCAACATCTTGCCATTCCTTAAAACCTCGGGGAAGATGTATCGTGAATAATCTTCAGACCTGGCTCGTTTTCTTTCGAATATTCTCAACTCTGACATACAGCTCTCCTTTGATGGCATATTTGCACACATTTTTTTTATTTTTCTAAATGAAAATAGCTTAAATTTTCTTGGTATTAAAAATACTGTTTTGTGATGTCAAAATGCCATGTAATGTACAGGAATAATTTAAAAATTTTAGAAATACCTGCTATGCCAACATACATAGATTAAACACAGTACCCAAGGTGATCTAAGCCACCTCTCTAATCTTATCTAAGCCATCCGCCAAGTACCTAAGCTATGTCTCTACACCACCTGCCTACCCCATCCATTTACCCATCTATCTGCCCATCCTACTCCACATTCTCTCTATTATTGAGAACACAAACTAGGCCATTATAACAAATGATCCCCAAATCAGGTGGCTCCCGGAAGGTTAGGGCCAGGGTTCACTGCTTTCATGTGTGACAACCTGGGGAGGCATAGCAGGCCGCTCTGATGGTTTGATGTTTAGGGGCCCCAGGCAGCTTGCAGATTGTTGCTCTGCTTTCCACAAGGTGTTGCCCTTGTTCTCATAGCCCAGGGTGGTTTGCCATACATCCACCTTCCGGCTACAAGGCAGGGAGAAAGGAATTGGCAGGCAAGCTCATCACTGTATAAATGCGTGGTCTGGAAGCTTTTCACAAGGCTTCTCACATTTCACTGCCCAGATTTAGTCACATGGCCCCACCCCCGTGCAAAGCAGGCTTGACAATGTAGTTTTCATTTATGTTAAACTGCCAACTGAAATTTCATGTTCTTGTTAAAGAAAGATGGGGGAATGGATGTTGGGAGACATCCATTAGTGTCTACCATGTTTCCCATGCAGTTTTATAACCCACACTTAAGCCAGTCAGTGTGTCTTAAAAACTCACCTTCCAATTCATATAAATATTGGCCTCATCCTTCACATGAATTCATAGCATTCACTGGAAGAATGTACCACAACCTAGTTAATTTATCGCCTCTTGGTGGAAACCTTTCCCCCAGCATTTTACAGTGTTCTGAACAATGCTGTGATGAATACTCATGTACAATCACTTGGACTGCTTTCCCAATTATTGCTGTAGAAGAAAATGCTCAAAATAAAATTGTTGCCTGACAGGGAAACTATTTTATGGTGATTCGAATTGCTAACATTTGCTCTAGAAATCTTGCATAAGTTTACACTCTTACCAATAATGTGAAAGTGAGTTTTGCACACCCTTGCCAACACTGAGTACTAAACACATTCTTAAATCACTACCAACTGAATAAGCAAAAAGATTTTTTTGTTCCTACTTGTTCTTCGTATGTGAAGGTAATCAGAAATCATTTGTAAGTTTTGCTAGTAAATTAAATAAGTCAAATTTTCATGAAAACAGAGGATATCCTTGAGGTAATGATAACCTATTTTTTTCCAAGCCTAATAAATGGATTGTGAAAGCATTTCTAAAAGGAGTGGACAAAATGCATTGAGTGAGAGATGGTATGAGCAGCAGTGGGAAACTGGGAAGAGAGGGAGGGACCTTCGGCCCAAGGCAGACCTCAACTCAAATTCAAGCTCTGCCACCTGGGCTGGGACGTTGGGAAAGTTCTGTCATTTCTCTGACACTTGGACAGAAGCTGGACTCCATCCTTGGTGTCTTGGCTTCAGAGTCATGCTCATAACTTCTATGGATTATTAATAGTGGATTGCTGTTTACTGGTCAGTTTATGAGACTCTCTCCCTCTAATTTAATCTCAGCTTCCGGTGGGCTGTGTCTTACACAGTCTACCAGTACCTATCAGGTGTTTGAGACACTACAAACACTCAATGAATGTGTTAGATAAGTGGCTTAATAAACAGAGGAGACTTAAGAAGTAGAAAGAAAATAGATGGAATAAGTAACAGAATAGTACCTTTCCTCAGTTGCCACATCATGACCACGGACAGACTGATCTAAAGAGACACAGGAGGGAGGACGCCCAAGTTTGCCTGCCTTCGGCATGGGAATGGGTGCATGGCCACATCTCCCTCCCGGAGCTCAGCCATGTGTCCATGAGGGAGTGTAAGGTCCCCCCACAGCTCTGGCTGACAGGCAGTGTCCACCTCCTGTTGGCTTCCCATGGTACACATTCTGTTGGTTGTCACATTACATTTCCCTGCCTCTCTGGCTTCTGTATTTTCAATCCTACAGGTTTTATGTTTTCAAGTCAGCTTGCCCCCCACCCAAGTTCATACTCCCATTAATGAGAAAAGAAACATTTATACAAGGCATGATGGGAAATTATCCAGGGGACCCCAGAAGCTTCTTTAGAAAAGAAGGCTCCTAGGGCCCATATTTTAGGGTTCTTAGGACATGTATCCCTTGTAAACCAGGAGCACCATTATCCAATAATGCAGCCTTTCACCATCCTTTGATGTTGGCTGAGAAGAATTTGGGATGAGAGGCCACTGGGAGAAGAAAGGGGATTATAACAGTGGATCTAAAGTTTTCTGCCTGCCTAGAATTAAGACTTTTAAAATAACTAGTAGTATTTCTCTATATGATAGTATTCCTCCACACCCTGAGCTAAGTCAAACTCTGAAAGATCCAAGCACAGTAACTTTTCCCTCGAGTCTCTGAATCAGAAATGTAAGGCTCCTCAATCTGTCTTGCAGATTTCACAGCCCTGCTGGTGGATGTTATTGGGAATTCTACCAGCTTCCTCACAGAAATTTTTAAGTCGACCTCCATCCTGTCAGGTGTGTGCACCTTGAAACGCTTGGCAAATGTGAGCTTTGGCATCCATCATGGAATAAGCAAGCCTAGTCAACTCCCCACCCAGCCCCTGCGACAGGCCAGGCTGCCTAGAATCTTCATGTAAGTTTTGCGTAAATAATCAGGGTGGTCCAGTTTCAGCCACTAGGATGTAAAGCTCCATCTTCCAATCAGATCTATTCCCGGGGCCTAAGAAATGAGAGGAAGAATCCAAGGCTTAAAGTTGAGGGAATCTAGTTAGAGTCAAGAAAACACCTTCTGGTGGTATACTGACAGCTTATACTCCCATTTTAAAGAAGAGAAAACTGAGATTCAGAGAGGTACTGTTCTGCTCAAGTTGGTTCAGAATTCAGGTTTAGATCTATATGGAGCTTAAGCCCGTGTCTGATGTGCCACTGAGAAAAATACACCTCATGTATAAGGCGGCTTCATATAACCCCCGGGTCATTCACATTCCCCGGGCAACCTACTTTGCAAAGCACAGATCTAGCCAATAGCCCAACACCTGGTCTCATTGAAAAGACGGTGTGCTACACTATGGAGTAATTATGGTTTCAAAAACAAGAGAGGGAGGGAGAAAGAAATAGTAATAGTTATTATTAGGTGCCTGAGACTCTTGAGAGGGCTTTCTGTGTATTCCCTCTTTGGGTCCTCTCCAGAACCTCATGAGTAGTTACTGTATTTATACCCACTTCGCAGGTGAGGAAACTGGCACAAAGAGGTCAAGTAATTGCCCAAGGTCATTCTGCAGAGACAGAATCCTAACCCAGGCAGTCTGGTTCCAAAGTCCATGACCTTGGTCACTATGCTAATGCATATAATAGTAATAGTATCACATTAACAATAATAGTAATTATTATTATGACTGTCTACTGAGCTCTTTGGTCTGCCAGGCACCCTTCTTAGCACTTCACACACATCATCTCACTGGATCGTCATAGCCATCCTACCACGGGCATGCAGCCACGCATCCATACTGCATTAGGGGGCATCCTCAGGGACAGGTTTATATAGGAATTCAGAAGTGTTCAGACTTTTGAAGGTCCAACAGGGTGTCTACACCGTAATGATATAACACTGCCAGCAGCATCCAGGGCAGCCTGTCATAATCAAACACATTCATATTCATTTAGCAAAACTGTTGACCCTTTACACTAAATGGGACAGATAAGGACTATAAACAACCTTGCATCTGTTTACCACACTCACACAAAACTGTCCATTTTACAGAGCTTTGGGGATCTAGAAATTGCAAATGAAGAACTGTGGGATTTGAATTTTCACCATTTTACAGATGGGTAAACTGAGTCCTAGAAAGGTCAAGCCATTCACTCACATTCCCATAGCTAGTAAGTGGCAGAGCTGATGTTGTGATCCTGAAAGCTGACCCCACAGTCTATGCCCTTAGTCATTACAGTACAATGCGCCTCCTCCTCCCACCCAAATAAACCCCCAGAAAATCAGGGCTGTGTTAAAGTAAGAAGTTAGCCTTATTTTCCTATGGAATCCTGAACTAGGGAATTCCAGCTTCATTTTCCTTTCAACCAAAGACTTCCAACTTCAGACCCATTGCTGAGTGTTGTCTGCTTTGTCTTACAGTGAGTCAGATGAATGAATCCGATTGCATCTTCATCTGTACGATGACAGGAAAGTCAGGTGAACCACCAGCCATTCTTCGACAGGCTCTCTGAGCTGAGGATTAAGCACAACATGCCAGAAGGCAAGCCCAAGTTTTGATTCTGTTGGTGTGATTTTTGCAGGACGGAATCTTTCCGACTTCTGGGAGATGGCAGAGAAATCACCTGTTATCAATTACACATTTACCAGCAGCATGTCTGGTGTTCTGGGTGAGTATAAACCTCCAAAACTCCTATTACAGAGTCTCCCGGCCAGGGTCTGGCCTAGCAAACTGAAGACTGAATGCTACCCTCAGGTTTTTTATTTAGCTGTGTGGTGTTAAAATCAAAGGATTTCACCATCACAAATTCTCTTTTTGAATTTCTGGATTCTCTTACATAAGAAGCTCTGGAAAGCCTGCATCCACCCCCTCATCCATGGCAGCAAGCTCCTGGAGTTGAACAGCTGCAGCCCCAAAACCCCACTAGGAGGAACACATTTCTTCTGTTTTCCATAGTCCTCTCTGCCCTCTATTGCCTTGCGTTTTTTTCTCCTATTGAGTACTTGGCTTCTGTAGGTATCTGCCCCTGTTGTAGACATTGCCACTATATAATACCCTGCCCCTACCCAACCATCCTCTACCCCTCCACATACACCTACCCATCTCTCTGCCTTTTTCCTGTCACAAGGTTTTGAAACCATATTCAAGCCTTCCTTCTTCCCTGTACTTAACTGTCATTTCTAGCTGAATAAAGTTGCCAAAGCTGGCTGGTCCTCTAAGAGTATCTGCTGCCATCTCGTCTTACTTCAAGTCCTTGTCATCTGCCTCTGGACTGGAATAGCCTCTGAACCAGTCCCCTTGACCCATTCTCTTATTTCCCTAGAACATCCATCCATTGCCATTTGAGCGATAGATAGTCTTAAAATACGATTGACTTGTATCTCTTCACTGCTCAGAACTCTAAGTCAGCAGTAGAGGGTCCGAAATTCTTAACCTGGAATATACATTTCTTTGTCATCGAGCCCCCCTTCACCAGCTCTCTCTTCCCACGAACCTTCTGCTAAAACTACACTGGCGTTCTCCCCTCTGCTTGCAGGTGACATGTATCTCCGTGCCCCTGTGACTTGGCCCATGCTGTTGTCTCAGTCTTGAACCCCATCCCTACTTTTCCAAACTTTAGAACCCAGTTTGTCTGTCAATCTGCAGCTCAGATGCTTCCAGTCTAAAAGATGCTCTTTTCTAAAAATTCCTCAATCAAACTTTGTCTTCTGTGATTCTACGACACAGCGCCGCCTATCGTCTGGGCTCCATGTCACTCTGGGTGGTCTCACAGGTGACTGTAGGAGGTCGCCTCACCAAATGCTACTTGAGGGCAGAGACTGAGTCTCCCCCAGCCCCACAGTCTGCTCCCCACCCAGGTGCCTCCCACAGTACCCTGTACATAGTAGGTTCTTCATCAACACCTCTTGGAATGAAATGACATTGTCAGTAGATCTCCAATTCCATTTCAGTGACTGCCTTGGTTTACTTTTTTTTTTTAGGTTGTAGAGCTATGTGGCTTTATTTTTATTTATTATTTTTTTATTTTGATATCACTAATATACAATTACATGAGCAACATTATGTTTACTAGACTCTCCCCATTATCAAGTCCCCACCACATACCCCATTACAGTCACTGTCCATCAGCATAGTAAGATACTACAAAGTCTCTACTTGTCTTCTCTGTGCGATACTGCCTTCCCCATGCCCCGCCTACATCATGTGTGCTAATTGTAATGCCCCCTTTCCCCCTTATCCCTCCCTTCCCACCCATCCTCCCCAGTCCCTTTCCCTTTGGTAACTGTTAGTCCATTCTTGGGTTCTGTGAGTCTGCTGGTTTACATTTATTGTAGGGCATCTTTTAGTTATGCTGAGGATGGAGCCCCAACTAGTGGAATGAAGCTGCTTGATTAGGAGATGAAATGGGCATTTGGTGGGTTCTCTTCACCTACTCAGTTCAGAGGACCAATCTGAGGGCTTCTTCAAAACACCCTTCTAGGACTTTCCCACCACCAGTCTCAATCCTGTCTCCCCTTTCATGTTCCTTCAATAAAGCACAAAGGGAAGAGAGGCCATATGTATGAGTTGGTGCTGAGGTTGGTGTACCTGATAGCCAGTCACCTGGCTGAGTGACAGGTTACTAGAGGCCCTTAGCCCCAGGCCCAGATAGTCTGGGAGCAAAGACCAGGCTTCTGGGGCAGGTGGGGTGTTGTGGAGCCCAAGGTAAGGCAGGAGAGAGGAAATGAGGGGGCAGGGCCCCTCCTACAGCTGCACAGTTCCTGCCACCCACACAGGTACCAGCCAGAGAGGCAAGGGGGGCCCAGAGAATGAGACTGAAATCCCACCAGTGTGCAGGCCAGCCTTTGTCACCCAGAGGAGGGGATCTTAGGGCTAGTGGGAGCCTGTCATCCTAATATGCAGCCCCCATCATGTAAGCCTCCTGGGGTGGGGGGAACAGGGGCCATAAAGAGTAAAACTAATGCCTGGGCCTCCTTCATTTCCTTCTGGAGCATACAAGGGCGCTGGGGAGGTCTCCCTCTGAGTTAGGTATCCTGCTGTCTCTGTGGGGGCCTGTCTCTCAAGCTGTTTCTGCCTGGCAGGCCTGCTTCCCTCTCATTCTACCTCTGGTCCCTAGTTCCACCCACAGGGCACATGGAGCAACCAAGTTCGCCTCCGGGGACCAGTGCCAGGGCTGTGGGCTGCCAGGTGGGACAGGATCTGATGGGATTCGGATTCTGTTCAGAAAGCAGGCCAAGGGTCCGATACTTTTCAGCCTTACAGCATCCCTTTCTGTTCACAGTGCTTCTTTACATGGCATTTTCAGAGGATGGTTTTTAGCTTCATTTGTCATTCAGGGAGAAACCCTCCTTTTGGTGGTGACACGTGGTCCTGTTCCGAGTAGGGGGTGAACCTCTGCATTCTGCATGTTTGCTGTCCAACGCCCTTCAGTATTCAACCTTTCTTTGGGTCCGAAGTGTCAAGCACACTGAAGCTGCCACTGACCATCTCCCTGAATGTGCAGCTACCAGGGGGACGGACGTGACGTCAAAGCTCGCGCCCACAAGCCAGCAGACATGGCCAGGAACGCGCCCTCTGCGAGAAGCCCTGGGCACCAGAGTGTCGGTGCAGAGAACCTCACCCAGGATGGAGACGACTCCTCCTTTGGAGGGAGAGCAGACGGCGGGCACAGACAGGCTCCCCCCGCTGCGTGCCAGGACCGCGGCCTCTGCGGGCAGTGCCTCTCCCACCCTTCCAGGCTTGGGTGAGAAACTTCCTCCCCTTCCCTCTCGGGTCCTGCTCTCCTGTGCCCTTCCCCCCGCCTGCTCCCTCTGGGCTCACGTACTGATGGAAGCCCCTCCCCTTCTCCCTTCTCTCCCAACCCCTTTCTTCTTGGGCATCCCTACGATAGAAAGTGATGTGAAGCAGTATAGGTTTGACAGGGACAAGCAAAGGCACATGTTACAGGCACAATGTCCTGCTAACATGTATTCAGACAGGTTTTTATTTTGAGATAGTTGAAGACTCACAAGAGGTTGTGAAAGTAGTGCATAGAATTCCCTGATACCCTTCTCCCAGCATCCCCCAGTGTGAATATTGTAGCACAGGTATTTTTATTGCAGCAAAGCATTTAGCGATAGCACTCTGCAGTTCATACAAAATGGTGAAATGGAGTCAACGTGCTATGACAGGGTTAAGTTAATTTGTAGCTGGCCAAGAATAGGTGAATGACTTGATGCCAGCACGAAAAGCCAGCACCTGCGGCAGGCAGGCCAGTGGGTTCCTCCTTCTTCCCCATCTTTGTAGACACAGTCAGTGCTTTCTCTGGAGATGCAGAAGGCATGCTGATCCTCGTGGAAAATAAGATACAACTGAGATGACGTTTGCATTGAGTCAGTACTGTCTCAGTGAGTTCTAATGATGGACCAGAGTCATCAGAATTCATTCATTCATATGTCAGACATGTATTTAATACCAGACACCAAGTTAGCTGTTAAAAATACAGCTTTTTCAATGTTCTCTTTCCTTCCTGAGCTCACACACCAGAGAGAGAGAGAGAGAGAGAGAGAGAGAGAGAGACATAGGCAAGGAAACTGACCTCTACAATCCAGCCTACAAAGAACTATTGTCCTGGAGAGCCCAGAGAGGGGCCTGCCCGGGGAGGTGAGGACTGATGGGGGTCAGGCAGGCAGGGGAGCCTGAGGAATGAGAAACAGAAAGCAGAGAATGAGGAGGCAAGGAAAACACATGGGCTTCATTAACCAGGACAGTCCTTACTACAACAGCCAGCATCATGACCATTCTCAAGAATTAGAAACCTTCCAGTATAATATGAAAAAAAAAATGTAATTGCAAGTAGCAAAAAATGATAAAATACTCAGCTATAACCCTAACCAGAAAAGTGCCCATTTTATAAGAGAAAAAACTACAAAGCTTTAATTACAGTAATGAAAGCATATTTAAATAAATGAAGTGATATGCCATGTTCTGGATGAGAAGTCTGAATATTTTAAACATGACAACTGTTCCCAACTTAAAGCTCTAAAATCCACCAAGGAATTAGTTTTGAAGAATTAAAAAAAAAATGATTTTAGTTCCTACCATGGGAATGAACAAGTGAAAACCTATAGCAATTGTTTAAAAGACCAGTGAGGGAAGATTTGTCTTAATAACCATCCTGTGATACTTTAGGGCAAGCAGTATTATTGTTATTGCTCTCATCTCCATTTTAATGATAAAGATGAGAAGAGTTACGGCATGTGGTCTATAGTTCACAGCATGGAGGAGGCAGGAGTAGATTTTACACCTTCAGGTCTCCTAACTTCAAATCCCGCAACCTTTCCACTATGTCACATGATTAGAAATGTATTTCTTATATTTGACAGAGCCCGCTGTCCCCCAGACACACACCCTGGCTGATTGCTTGGGTGTCTAAGGGATTGAGGGATTTTTTTTTTAACTGTTAAGAAGGAAAATAAAGTTCAGTTTGGTCCATTTATTCCAGTTCAGGGAAAAGTTTAAGTGCCTGGATTATCTATACTATGCATGCACGTTGCGCCTACTCTTTGATTACATTGCAGTCGTCTTGCCAGTTTTATATCTGAATCGAAGTGGTCAAGCATATAGTAAGTACAATGTCATGGTCACTCGCGCAGCTACCAGGAGGGTGGCCGGAAACCCATGGCTGGCAACCAACAGGCAGGCATGGGCTTCCACACTGCCTGTGCCCTGGGCTCAGAGCATCGGTGAGAAAACACCTGGAGCGCCTCCCTGGAAAACACGCTCCTCCACACCGACTTCTCCTGCTGAGGCCATGAGCTCGAGAAGCCTGCCTGGGCCTCCTGCCTGGACAGCGGCCACACGTGACAGCCCATCCCAGACCAGCCAAGCCACAGGTGAGACATGATGCTTGCTCCCATCTCCCCCACATTTACGCTAACTTGAACATTGCCTGTTTTTAAAACCTTCCCTAAATTTTTGAAATATGATACACATACAAAAAAGTAATAAAACATAAGTTAGTGGCATAATGAATAATCATGAAACAACCTTCTTTCTTTATTTTATCCAACCTTTTTCTTCCCATCTTTGAATGAATGAATGAATGGATGGATAAGTAAATGACTCCCCCTTTGCAGAACTCTCCCTTCTCCCCTCTCATTTATGAACTCACTTCTCAATTTCTTCTCCTTTTCCCATTTTCACTGCCCACTGCACAAGTGACTACTAGAAGCTGATGCTGTTCATTCCAGGCAATTTAACTGCCTTTTAGCATAGTATTAATATATTTCATGTTATTAGATTAACTGCATACGTATTATGCAAATGCAATGTAATGTATACATTAATTACATATATGAATATAATTGCACATATGTTAATATGTAATCATGTAATATGAGGAAGGCCTGGGAAAAAGCAAGAGGAACATTTTCAGGTGTGAACCCAATCCTGTGTATGTACATGTATTAATGTATGTGTGTGCATGTGTGATAAACGTGCACAGAAAATAGAAAACAAAACAGATTAAGACTGAAAAGAACTTCCAACATATTAATCTTGGCCAAACTGAGGAAGTAGATATGATTTTTATTTTTCTTTACTCCAGTGTCATAAATTTTCCCTGTTTTCTACTCCTATCATTGGACAAAAAAAGGTTTATTTTTACAATCACATCCTTTGATACGTGCAGCCAGAGGCCCTCCCATGCTCACCACAATCAGTAGACTGAAACATGTCCTTCCTGTGCTGTTAATGTCTGTGAACTTGACCTTGCCCCTTTGGGCCATGCTCTCCTCAAGGACATGTATCTTTAATCTCCAGTTTCTTTGAAACACAGCAGGCATTCAGTAGAAGTTTGAATTACCCTAATTTCTTAAGAAACAGAGGGGAAGGAGTAGATGAATTTTCATGGGCATACATGTAAAGTCTTGACTTTAGGTTCAAAATCTCAAATGCACAAACAGACCTGGGGATGCAGTTTTGATAGCTCTAATTGGAGAAACACCTGACATAATTGCTTAGGGAAAAATAAAAGCAGGCACACTTGGGTTTTGCCAGCCACACAGCAGCCAGAACAGTCCTGAGGCTGTGAGCTCCGGTCTTTTATTTCAGACGCAGAGGGGTAGAAACTCTGACTCCATTGCCCTAGGTCCTTGGGCAGTTTTCTTGATCTCTCTGAATCTCAGGTTTTTCATCATCAGAATGGAGGAGATAATACTCTTTTCAGAGTGGTCATGATGATTAAAGTAGGTGATGTCTGTAAGGGTTCAGCTCAGCACGCGGCACAATCAACGGCATCTCCTAGTGACCTGCCCCACTGCGCACACACGGCGGCTGGCTTCAGGAGACACCCTTGTCTGGGAAGGGTCCTGGCAGACGGGACACTCAGCCAAGGAGAGCGCGGGTCTGTTTTTGGGTTTCAGTGCATTTCAGCCCTAACCCTCTGTGATTTTGCGGTCATTTACCTAAAACTGAATAACTAAGCTGCTGATAGCAATCACAGACATGTATGTAAACGCTGTGGGTTGTGGTGAAGGCTGCTCAGTTTCTAGAACTACACAGAAACACACCCTGGCAGCAAGCATCAGCCAACATCTTCGGCTGTCAGGGGCGTATAGTCCAGCGCCCGAAGGGGGATCCAAAGAAAGTGCTGACCCGCTCCAAGGAAATGACAAGACTCCTTTGAGGAAATTGCGCCTCCTGCCTACACGCATCTGTGTAAATGTGCCATGCTGTGTCTGGTCCCGACATGGTGGTCCAGGTGGAGTAGAGGCTATGTTTACCTGCACACTGCCGCACCGGCAGTCCTGCCAGAGGAGCATGATACGTACCGAGAAGTATTACAGCCCTGAGTGGCCTCAAGACGCTGCTTCCGTCTCACCACACCTCACGCCTCCAGGTCATCCTCCAGTCTCCAGCCAGAGCAGACTACCCAACACTCACTCCCCGGGCCTCTGCTTACACTCTGTCCCCTGTCTGCAGGCCCATTCTCCTCACTCACAGCTTAGCCTCTTCTGTCTTGGGGAAGATGCCCCTTGCTCCCACCCTATCCATATGGTCAGCCTCCCCCCTTTCCTTCTGCTCATCCCCACGGGCAAATCTGCCTGTTTCATCTTCTTCTCCCTCACTCTCTGGAAGGAGTCTGCTTGGCCGGTTTTGCCAGAGGCCAGAATCTTGACGTCAAGGATGGCATCCTGAAGCGGCCCTTATACCAGGTCTTTACAAACATGCTCCAAAGGATTGTTGAGATGAGCCAGGCCATGCTCTGGCATGAAAATGACAGACAGCTGTCAGGGGTAGGCATGGAGGAAATGTGCACACGGAGACTCAGAGTGAAAAGCCTATCCCTGCCCTTTGTGCAGGAGCTCCGTGCTTGCATGCTGCATGTGCAACACCGCCACTCCCCTACAGAGTCCCATCACTCGCACCAGTGTCAGCTGGCTTCCCAGGGCACCACACATGGCAGCACAGACACTGATGGGACGGGCCCTTGGCCTCCTGTGCACTGGTCGCGCCTGCGTTGTCAGTTCTCTCTCTCCCTCGTTTTTGCATCCTCAGTACCCGACCAGGTGCCTGCCCTAACACCCAGCACTGGTCAAATAGAGTAGGACTGGTGGCAGGGGGTCTCTTCTCCCCATCAGGTGTCCCAAGAAGAAATGCTGGCTCTTCTCTGACTCCTCTCGTCCCAGGAACATTCACCGCTGGCACACAGACTCCGAGTCCAACCAAGGCACCGGCACCCAGATACCCACAGACAGGTAGGAACGTGCTGCCGCTAAGAGAACCCCAGACATCAGAGGTTCTTAGGGGCAGAGGTCGGTGGGACAGGGGCCAGCAGGCCGGCTGAGCTGCATTTCTCACAAGGGACTCCAGGGGTGCAGCTGGGGTCAGTTGTCAGGTGAGTTCCAGAAAACAAGTTGACTCCATCCAGATCTATCCTGGTCTGTATGACTGCACTTCATTGGTTCTAACAGGGAAAGGGGCAGGAGAACTAGCTCAGAAGCCTTGCTGTGCTGCTAAATTGCCCTGTGACCTTCGATAAATCGCCTCCTCGTCTTTGCTACAGTTTCCCTACAGATTTCAAGAGCTCTTCATCCTTACAGGCCATGATGCTCTCTCTAGTCGTGTGCATCCCCCAAGGCCATTCCCGTTTGATATTTGGGAGCCGCTCTTGCCCCTTGCAGGTGACTTCCCTGCCGTGTTGCCGTTTGCTCCTGGAGAACAGCCAGCCTTGCTCCGAGGACCCCATCGAGTTTCAAGTAGGTACAGCGCCCCAGCCCTCCTGCTGCTTTTGTTTGTTTCCAATGACGTGGGCTTGATACATTTAGATTCAGACTGCTGGGATTCAAGTTCCAGCTCTACCATTTACTGATGAGTGGCCTCCAGCTCTCAACTTCCAGAATTCAGTTCTCTCAGCTATAAAGTGAGAATAATAACAGTCATTGCGGGCACTGAGAATGTCCTTTTTCCCCACAGGATTATGTATTAAGTAAGGTAATGTGTGTGGAAGTGACTGGGAACCGCCGAGCTCCGTATAACTTAATCCAATCCACTTTCACTGCATGAAAGCCCTTTTAAGCAACATGCTTCGTGCTTTGCAAATGGAAGCTGTTCTTAAAATGGGCAAGATGTCAGGAGACGGGCTGGAGGGAGTAAAGGATGATCCGAACTTCAAAGCCCACTCACGGGGTGTGACTTATATTCAGTTTTTAAGGACACCCTGCCTTCCCCACCCTGCACATGTAATTCTGGAGGGACCATTTCCTGGGCTTGGACCTGGGTGTTCAGGGCTCCTGACAGAGGCTCAGGGCTTGGGCTCCTGTGGTGTGGGCAGCTTTTCCCAGCTTTGGGATGTCTCTCTCTCTGTTCTGTTGAGCCCAGTTTCCATAGAAGAAATGGATACATTTCTCTCAATTCCAAGAGAGAAATTGATACAAAGCGAGTCCTTCACAGCTGGTTGAGTCCTCAGGCCCTTCCCACTTCGGGATGTCCCCGGGGCCATCCAGTCATCTGTCAGCAGGACATTATTAAACTCCTGGAGCCTGCACAGTCTCCTTTTTCATATCACCTACAGTCCGCCTCAGCCCCCTCACCCGGCAGTGAATGGTGAATGGGCCTTTCAGACACAAAGATGTGATTATGCTACTACAGGAAATTACAGCCTTTTTTTCCCCAGGGTTTCTAAAGAAACACACTAGTGGTACAGATGGAGGCAGCTGCCAGACTGAGTTCTAGAAAATGAGTTGACTATATATCCATACCTATCTGTATCTATATCTATGTCTATATCTGTATCTACCTATATAGTTGTATCTATCTACCTGTCTATCTTTTTGTACATCCATCCATCCAATGAGAACTATAAATATAAAATAAAGGGATTCTGCCATCTTCCAATAAATGATTCTGCCCACCCACAAACAAAATCATGCCACAGAGTTGTTGAGATTCACTCATTTATCTACCTAATGATTATTTATTGAGCTCCTACTACTTTCCAAGCCCTGTGCTAAGCCTATTTTTACTTTGTCTTTGCAATAATTCTGCAAGGTAGGTAGTATTAATCTTCATCAGGCGGTTTTAGTAGGTCCTGCAAATAAAAAGTAACTAAGTTTTGAGCCTAGATCTGTTTAGTTCCAAAGCATATGCTCATTTCACCCTTCTATGTTATCTCCTCCAAAATTCTCCATAAGTATAAAAAAATGTGATTTGTGGGAGAAACATGTAAGATTCCTGAGAGAAAAACTGGTAAATGCTGTGTATCCAGAAAGGAAGAGGTTACTTCCATCTGGAGGGATCATTCCAGAGCATTTTATTGATTGAGAAAGTGGCATCTGAACAGGGTTGCTTCTAAATATGCATTTCAAGCAGAAGTACGGCTTATGCAAAGGTACTGAGGCAGGGCAGGACTGATGTTTCCCAGGGGCTGAGAAAGACCTTTGTGGTTGCAATTCTGATGCTGAAGGGGAGAGTAATGAGGAGTAGGGGTGGAGAGGCTGGCAAGGGTGAGATCCCCAGAACCATGTCAAGTTGCGTGGACCTCCTCTGAGGCACAGTGGAAGGTGGGAATGATGACATCAGGTTTGTGTGGCAGAAAGGTCTCCCTGGCTGCAGAGTGGACACTGACAGATGTGAGAGCGTGAGTGGAGATACCGGTGAGGAGACTATCATACTGATGGTCAGGGATGAAGGGGGCTGGAGCTAGGAGGTGGCTGTGTGCATAGTGAGGCAAGCAGTATTCAGAAAGAGAGGATCAAGAGGATGTGACGATGCAGAGTGAGCACCAGGAAGGAAGAAACCGAACATCATGCCCAAGTTTGAGCAAGTGAGTATTATTTCCAGGGATGGGGAAGCAGCAGGGAGGTAGGGAAGGGGGCACGGACATGGAAATGAAGCCCAAGGAAGGTTAAATGCATTCAAGCAGTGAGGTGTGGGTTATGAGCTTAGGCTCCAGAGTCAGATCTTGTCAAGAGTCACTACCTGCTGTATAACTGATCAAACTGCAGAATCACTCAGACCCTCAGCACCCTCTTCTATGAAACAGTACTTCTGATATCTTCATCACATGGTTTTTGAAGGATTAAGTGAATGAGTGTACATAAAGAACTTAGGAAAGTGCCTGATACATAGTAGGTGCTCAATAAATGTTAGAGAAAAAATTCTGGCATATTTATAAAAATTGGTGAAAGTTCTGGAGGGTTTAATGTTCTTTTTGACTCAGCATGAGATTTAAAATACATTTCCTTTCTACATTTTCTGTTAAATCTTTCTTTAACACTAGGAGCCCTCTTCTCCACTTTAATAAATGAGAGGCTGCTAAATTATAATTTTCAAAAGGATAAAAACATGACTCATGGAAATATAAAATGAATACGTATCAAAGATGATATGAGGAAAACAGGAAGATATCAAGGTTGGTTCAATGAGAGTTTAAGGAATTATATTTATACAGTCAGTCAAAGGCATTTTGAAATCAATTTGCTAATTGATATCCACAGTAATAAAATTTTTTATTTTTTATTGGGCAGGAAACAATTGCATCTTTGCCTCAGATAGAAATTATTTGCATTGCTAGTTAACCTCTATCCCTTCACAGAAGTAAAGTCATCTACTCAGTAAGTCAGTCAAAGGTACACAGCCCTAGATAACCAGATAATCTCCGCAGCTATGCTGAACACCCAGAACTGCACCGAAAGGATGTTCAGGAATTCCTTTGGCTCATTTCCAGGTTTCAGACCATTTTTCTGACAGAGGTGAGAGTGTGAGTGGAGACACTGGTGAGGAGACTACTATACTGATGGCCAGGGATGAAGGGGTCTGGTAGGAGGTGGCTGTGTGCATAGGGAGGCAAGCAGTATTTGGAAGGAGAGGATTAGTGATTCTTGGTTAAGAGATTATCAATATCCTAACCGTCAAATCACAGGAGGGTGGGCTCCCTGGGAGGAAGGCTCTTTCCCTTCTTATTCATTGCTGTGCCCTTAGTGTCTGATAGCAATGCCTGGCTATAGTGGACACTCAGCACATTTTTAATAAATAAGTAATAATTGATTGTTTATTACTTTTTAAAAATATTTATTGTTTATTCCATGCCAGGAACTTGGTGATATGCTTGGTATTAATTGTCTCTTTTAATCTTCCCAGTCACCCTATGGTGATGCACACCCATGCACATGTACACAGTCACACCACATGCACATATATTTATATCCACATACGCACCCATGAAAAACTCATGCCCCCATGCATGCACACACTTATAGACCTGTATGCACACATATGCCCATACACACACACACACACACACACACACACACACACACACACCATAACCCTCTGTATGGTTATTCTTAATTTTTTATTTCCCCATCAACAAACCATCTCTTGCATGGTGATGAATCATATACTCCATCCCTTAACACTGGAAATGCCCCACCTGATCCATTCTGTTCAGTGGTTTAGATCCTCATTTAATATTTGCTCCCCAGTGAAATCATGTGTGATTTCCTATCGGGTCTGGATGCCCACTTTCTCCGCCTCTCTCGGAACTCTCACTGCAGCTTGACCAGGCAGTGGCGAAGCAACATAGTATTTCTGCAAGGTCCATCTCACTTCCTGAGATCAGGAGCAAAGTACCCAACAAAGGGGAGGTGCTTGCTAAATTCTTGGTTATTTACACTGGTCTGGGACTGCGTCTTCTAGGGTGTCCTCAGCCGTTCCTCAAAGAAGGGGCCAAGACAGCTGCTTCTGTTACCCCGGCCATCCAGAAGCTCAGCCCTTGCCTGATGGAGCTATGCCGCTTTTTCCAGCAATGTCTCTGCAGGAGCCAGAGAAGAGACCCCAGGGTGGAGGCCATGAGGTAACCTTGGCCAGTTGCTGCTTTTTCACATCCAGTATTTAGGGGCTTGTTACTCTGCCTGGCTTCTCTGCAGGCCACAAGGTGGCCAGGCATTAAATAATCCATAGGCATATAGCAGGGGTACTTCAAGGAATGGACTCCCCAGTGAATCCTCTACTAGACAGCCAGAGTGGAACCCCATTCATTTCTGGGTCTCCAGAACCAAGCACAGGGCCTGGCATACCAGGTGTAGCTGACTCAAGTCACACCGAGTTGAGCTGGGTCCCATGTGGTGGGATGCTTACAGAGGACCGCAGGGCTCAGCCTGCAGAGGTTTGCTAGAAGAGAACAATCAAGGATATGTCCATCGAAATCCCAGTGCTTTCATAACCCCTAGCACTTATTAGCTGTTCAAATGCAAAGACTGTAAGAAGAAAACTAGAAGGCAGACCCCAGTTTTTATTATGAAGGACCTTTTCCTACCCTGGAATGCAGACATACTATCCTTTCTTCCAGGGTTTATTCTTGACTGTCGGCCCAGAACCAAGCCAGCGTAGATGAATACTTCTACTCCAGCGGTCTGGGGTCAGTCTGTTAGATCTTTAATGTTATTTTCAAAGTGTACTCATGATCCTTCTGCTTTTCATGTCTCCATGATCTCTGGCTCTGAGTCCCCAGTCCAGGTTTGTAGGCTTTTCCCATCATCTCTTTCTGGCCCTGGTCTTGGGTCCATCCATCAGCATGAATGTTTCCATTCAAGCAAAATCTATGGACTCAAGGTGTTCGCAAGCAAGGTGGAGGCAATTCTCTACCACGTAGGCTTGGCCTAAAGAAGAGAAATTTTGAGCAACGATACTTTCTTACAGGATCTGTGTGCTTCTAGGTACTTCTCCCACTAGCTCTTTGAATCCACAGCATGTGTTGAGTCTCTACTATTTATCAGTTACACAAAGTGCTAAGCCATAGGAATAGAAATGGAGTGGTGAATCAGAAATAGACCCAGAAACAGAGGATTTCTGAGAAGAAGAAATGAACACAAATTAAAATATGAAAGAGTGACAGAACGAAGTCATGTACACAGGCAAAACCTATTAATCATATTTCCGTGGGGGGTAAAAAATCACACTTGAAAAATCTATACTGTAAATATTGGATTGAGGGATAAATGGGGAAGGCAGAAGTTTCCAGAAACATATTTTGAGTTTAAGTTTAGAGAAATGAAGCACTTGTAAAGCTGAGCTAATCCCTTCTTTCCCCTGTATTTTAATAGTGAATTATTCTATAATCTCATACATAGCATTGAATTCAGGCTAAGAATAACATAACTTTATAGCTTTACTCAGTATGTTTGTTGAATAAGGTGGTCCCTGTGATGAAGAAATCATGGTTTAGTGGGGAGGATGGCCATGTAAAGAGACAAATTATAGAGCAATGTGACGAGTAGTGTAGCAGATCCTGATTATGGGCTGTGGAGCCTGAGAGGAAATAACTAATAGGGTTTGATGGAGCAGTAGGAGTTTTCTAGGCAGAAAATGGGAAAGGACACTCCAGGCAAAAGGAACAACATGTGCAAAGATGGAAAGAGAAGCAACAGGAAACATGTTAAGATCCCTGTTCAATGTGGCCGCAGCAAGGATGGCAGGCCACTGTCCCTAGCATGTGTCCTTATTCAGGAAAACCTTGCTCTTTCAAGCACCTGGTTAGCTGTTGCAAATGAGTTCTGACTTTCCCTATACAGCTCCAGCCCTGCCTACATTCCTGGCCCCACATAATTCCAGGAGCACTACTCCTGTTGCAGGGGAGAAGCATTCTTACCTACACTGCCAGACTGCTGTGAGAATAGATTGACATAAAATGAAATGATACATTGAGTCATTTCTGCAGAGTGCCTGGCTGCTGATGGGTGAACATACATTCGTGGTTGTCACTGCACTGCTCTCTGTCTACTTACAGCCAAGTTTGAATCCATCTCTAGCATCCTTAACACGTTGCTGTGGCAACCAAATACCTAATGGACATGTCAGCTGTTGGCCAAGCTTTTGAGGTGTCACCTTGAGAGCATGGGGTCCCAGGCTCACCATGAAAGGAGCCCTGGTGGTATCCATCATTCCTCTCGACTCTCAGATCCATTCCCTGTGTTTTCTTACTCTGCTCTGTAGACAGTGGGTGGTACATTCTGCATTTCCCAGAATACCTTGCCAGCTAGCTTCCTGTTAGTTTATCCAGTAGAAGATATTGGCAGGAAATTAGAGGGCAGTGGAGGGGAGAAGCCAGGGATTTTCTCTCTGTTTATTTCTACTTTCAGTTTATTTCTATTTTCCCTGGTGGTTCTTTCTAGCCTCTTCACAGGTTAACAAAAGAACAGAAGAATGACAGAGTTCTTCTAATCCTTTTATAACTAATTCCCAGTGTTAAATGTTCTCTGTAGACCACCTGGGCTGCTTTTCCTAGCTGGGTCCTGACTCATATCAGCCTTACTGCCCACTGGAATGGCAGTGTGTTCCTGGCACGGAGTGGATGACCTGGGTTAAAATCCAGCTCTGCCACTTGAAAGCAGTGCGTCCTTGGGCCAATCACTTTGCTTGGTTTTGCAGTGTCCTGTGAGCTGAGGCTATTGGAACCTGGGAAATCTTTACAGCCAGCTTTATTGGAGCAGTAGGTTGCTCCCCGGAATATGCTAGAATCCCAGAATAATAGAGATGGAAGAGAAATTGGAGCACAGTTAGCCTGACCTCCTCACATACCAGCTGAGGGATAGGAAAGGATTCCCAGAGCCCCGCGGTGCACTTGTGACTCAGCCTGCCCTGAAAGCTCTTCTTCCCCATAATGTGTCAGCGCTGTTTTCACCGAAGTCCAGTGAAGCACTTCCTGCCGCCACCAGCCAGGAGCAGGATATGGTTTTGCAAAGTTTTGGCAGCATTGTTAGCTATGCCAACAATGCACTTAACCTGCTTCACACCCAAAAATAAATAAGTGAACATCACCATTTATTGAGCACCTATTACAACCCTGGCCCTGTTCGGGACCTTTGCAAATATGATTAATTAAATCTCCTTTAATCCCCACGAAAACCTGTAAGTGTAGGTTCTATAGTTGCTTTGTTTATAGGTGAAAAAAACCAAGGCCAGAGAATTAAGTAATCCACCTGAAGTCACATGTCCTTGTAAGTCATGATGCTAGGAGGACAAAACGCAGGTCTTTCTGACTCCAAGGTCTAAGCTGTTTCCTACTCGGCCTCCTTCTCTACCTCTCCTCCCACATCTATAAAGATGGAGAGGAGGCTCCTTGCTGTGAATAATTGGCCATTATGATTTTTTAAAAATCATGGTTGTCTTCTAATAGCCACAAAAGATAGTGATTGCTTTCATCTCTGATTTGAATAATTGGCTGCTATGATTTTTAAAAATTATGGTTGTCTTCTAACAGCCACAAAGGATAGTGATTGCTCTCATCTCTGATTCAAATGTTAGGTACTGTCTTGAACACTATTCCTGGTTTCTGAAGAATGCAACCTACATCTGTCAGAGGGTGGAAAGGGTGTCCCACTCACACAGTGAGTATGCAGCTGGACTGTGTTGTAACTAGGCGATGAATGCAGTATGCAAAAGGGTTCTAGAGCCCTGAGTGAGTGCCCTGCCTTAGCAGCGGGGGTGGGGGCCATTGGAACAGGTGTAGCTCATCTGGTCATCATTACTTCTAGACAAAAAGAGTCTAGGGTGGTTCTGATTCCCCATCACCTAGCGGTTTGATTTTTGCAATGAGGTATAGAAAAGAAAAAAGAAGAAGAAAAAAAAAGCAGGAGTCAGCCTGAGCAGGCGATGTTGCTTTCTGTGTGATCTCAGGCAAGTTTCTTATTCTGAATCCCCATGTAAGCTAAAAACACAGGCAAAGAAAAATCAGATAAAAGGCAAACACTTACTTGTGTATAAATTATGAATTGTGTATAAATGAGATAAACACTCACATTCCTGGCCAAAGCAAAATTTATAAAATTATTCAAGAAAGAGAAGGCAGCACAAAGAGATGCCAGGTTCAGCTGTTTTTTTCTCCCACTCCTGCTGACCAAAGTGGCTGATCTAATCAGTTGGGTCCCAAAACCATTGGTTCGGCAACTTTATTGTACCACCTACTGGGACTATCTGACCAAGGGAGTCTGGCCTCTTAAAACTCATGGAACTATATTGAACTCTGTGAAAAATCCCTTCTTAGCATAACACAAATATGAGGTAGGGGCTCACGTGGCCCAGTCTTGGCCATGTTTTACATTAAAGAAAAAGTTTGGCCACCCAATCCTTCCTTTTTCCCTTAGAGCACGTGGGATGGGACCTGCGAGCGTGAACACCCCTCGGAAAGTCCTCTTGCTCCAGGGCCCTCTGTGGCTCTCACGGCCCACAGGCCACCATCTCGGAGCTCCTGTCCAGGCCTTGTCTTCCAACTTCTCAGTAACTCTCCTAAAGTCCAGCTTGCTGGCCCTCCTCTCTGCTTGCATAAATCAACACTGTTGATTTTCGTTTCCTTTGCCTCTGTACTTTCTTCTTTCTCAAAACACACTTCCCCCTTTTTTTTCTTTCATTCTTTTTCTTTAGGCGACACCAACAATAGACATCTTTGTCTCACACTTTGGCTTCTGGAGGTTTGAGGTCAGGATGTCTGCAGGGTTGGTCTCTCTTGGCTTTAGGCGGCTTGTAGATGGCCGTCTGCTCTCTCTGTGGCCGCACAGTCTCCACTGTGTGACACCGTGTCCTCTCCTCTTACGAGGATGCCAGGCATATAGGAGTAGGACCCACCCCAAGGTTCTCACTTCACCTTAATTACTTCCTTACAGGTCATTTTCCCTCACACCCTTCTCCCGTCTTCTCTATCATCACTTTTATTCTGCAGCACAAAAGCCAGGCATCTGCCAAGTCAAAATACAAATCCCTTTACCTGGTAGGGAGAGAAGGAATAGGAGACCTTGCGAACTACTTATAATTGGATAGCTTTCCATTGTTCTTGCCACACTAAAATCTCTACACAACCAGTTGCTTTACCTAACAACATATTAATGAGTTTAGATCAGCTTTATGCAAACCGGGGAGGTGAGGTAGACATAGCTGCGTGCTAGAAAGACATCGGTGGGCAAGTAGAGAGACGAGGGCTGCTGAGCTAGTCCCTGTCCGGGGCCCACCCACACGTTTGCCCTCTGGAAGCACCTGGGCCATCACAAGGTCAGAACTTGTGTTGATAGAGCATTTCCTTCTCAGTACCTTGAGTTCCCTCTTCTTTTTACTGTTTTTTTTTTTCAGCCTTGAAACAAAAATGCCTTGAAAACATCTGCAAGTCTGTGTGAGGCCTTGAGTAAGCAATGGGACCTAACAGTAAATTGAGCTGCATCTCATCACCCTGGCCCCAGGCCCAAAGGGGCTGCATTTGCAGAATTCACCCAGGTTCCAGCCAGATCATCAGTCAATTGATAACAGTTCTTCTTGCAAGTAGCATTTCTTGCTCTCCTGTGAATCCATGTAAGGTTTTGGAGTGAAAAGCCAAATGTTACGGGCCTCACAGCAAATGTGGTAATGCCGACTCCCCTGTTTGCCCCAACATTACAGAAACCTAGTTTCTATGCTCAAGAAACCACCATGAGGCTTGCAGCCCTCTGAGACTGGAGAAATGGGGTGCAGGTGTCACACTGGCATGAGCAAACCAGTCCAGGCACAGGGACCAACCTAGGATGAAAAGTGACTTAAGACTGGGACTCTAGGAAGACAGCACCAGCGTAAATGAGGAAAACGGAGCCCAGATTTTGAAGAGGCTTGCATGTGATTTCTCCATACAGTCACGGGCAGCCAGGCACAGTCAGACTCGCTGCACTGTGGGGTCCAGATGACCTTCCAAGCCCCCTCAGCAGGAAGCGACGAGAACCTTCCCCTGGGAGGAAGGCTGGGGAGCTATCCTGTTACTGTCCTGCCTTAAGTCCTTGTGTGTATGTCCCACTGTATCCCCAAGAGCACCCTTAGCTTCAATGATTCACTAACAGGACTCTAGAACTCAGAACAGTTGTAATATTCACATTTATTATTTATTACAGCAAAGGGATAGAGCTGAAAATCAGCATAGGGGGAAGGTGAGGACAGCAGAGCCCAGGACACAAGCTGCCAGTTGTCCTCTGCAAATACAGCTGGAGGGACAGCACTCCATTCTCTTGGCAACGATCTGACAACATGTGTGGAATATTGTCAACCGGGCAAGTTTGTCTGAGCTGTGGAGTCCAAGCTTTTTATTGGGGGTCAGCCATGTAGGCATGAAGGGCCCACATGGGTGAGCTTTGTAACTCAGTCCCCGGCCTCTCCAGAAGTCAGATTCACACTACGTGACCCGTGTCCCCGCCATAAATCACATTGTTAGCTTAGAGCATCTGGCGTGGCCCAAAGCCCCAGCTACACAGACACCCTTGTCAGGCAGCATATTCCAGAGGTTTGGTGGCTCTCTCCCAGCAGCGGCTCAAGGGCCAGCCTATCTTTGGAAGGTGCAGGGTTTGAATGGCCCAGCCCTGCTAAGTCAGCCCGTCACGGCACTGCCACACACTGTATCGTATCAGGGCCCTTCCTGCTTTTCTATGCCTGCACTGCAGTGGCTCCAATATCCCCGTAAATGCTGATTCTCTACGCAGACATCGCTGAACAGGTTTGCTGACTCCAGTGGCCTCGTACAGACCCTTTAGTTCCTCACGGTAGGGACAGCTTCCCTCTTGATGTGCCCAAAGCTCTTGCCCACCTTCTGGCCTTAGTAGGCTGACCAGCCATCAATCTTCTACCCCTTTGTGACCTATGCCCCACCTTTGATAAGAAAAATCACTTTGCATTTAGAATTCAAGCAGAAACAGTTTTCCCCCATTGGAAGACAGACCAGAGCTCTTGCATTACCTGTGAATAAAAAGGTTCTTGGAGAAGTAGAACTTGGACTTTGGGGGGAAAAGCAGCCAGGCAGGTCGCTGTCTGGTCCCACAAAGGAGGACTTATTTTTCATCTCCAGAACACCAGACAACCCTCCAAGTTATGCAAATGTAACCACTTAAATACTTGTTGTTATGACTCGTGGGGCCTGCAGAGGGCGCTCTAGTTTGCAAAGCTAAGGAGAAGGCAGTAGATTTGCTAGGGCAAAGAGTCTTGCTTCTGAGCAGGAATCAAGGAAACAGCGCCATCCGTCAGGTGTGGGTCAGTCTGTCTAGACCCTCTCTGATGCACCAAGGCTATGTTGGTTAGAGCCTTTGGCAGGAGAGGCTCCCTGAGGAGTAAGTTACCATCAGGGAAGGTGGTGGACTGAGGACCTGGTCCCGATGCCCCAGCCATCCACTCGTGGGGAAAGCCCATGCAGACCCAGCCACCCTGTACGTTGGGGACAGTGACTGAATGACTAACTTAAAAGCCCAAGTGTAGAGGACTGCTAAGAACCATGCAGGCACCTGACCCTGCAGCAAGGACAATGGCTTGTTGGACCATGTGGGGCCAGTTTCCTGGGGTCACAGCACTGTCACACAGCAGCAATGGCAGGAGGAAGAGTAAACCGACCACAGCCTGGAGTCCCTGGTCTCCTGGAGTCGAAGGGGAGGCCTGACAACCTCCTGAGCAGAGAAAGTCCTGATTTAGGGAAGGCTACCACACGGGGGTTCCTACTGATCTGTGTGCCGGCGGCCACCAGCGGGTCACTGATGGGGTGAAAGAGACGGGACAGTTATTGTCCCCCTGCTGATGGGGGGAGCTGTGCAGTGACTCGTGTAGGGTCACACAGGATTCCTCCTGGAGGCAAAGACACAGGTGCGTTTATGTCTGTGTCATTCATGCCCCAAAGTCAAGCTAAAATGGCAAGAGAAAGATGGGGAAGAAGGGGGACTGGGGTGGGGGGGTAATGCTCAGTCTCACGGAGGATTACCACAGCAGCTGTGGCAGCGCTGCTGTAGGGCCGGTAAGGACAAAATCATGTGAGAACATCGTGGCTCACAGTAGGCCCTCCATAAATGTTGGTTCTCCTTGTGACCTCTGGAAAGGAGAGAGCTCCCAGGGGATATGAGGGGACAGGGGACCTAGCCGTTACAGATCCCCTACTACTGAACTACGCACCTTACCTGGCTCGCCTCAGTCTCACAATCCTAGTGGGATTGTCCCCATTTAATGGAAGCGGGAGCCAGGACGGAGCCGGGACAGGCCCAATGCCCCCTGTAAGGAGTAAGCTGGGCTGGCCTGGGAACCGGGCATGCTTGGTTATAAAGCCCCACCTCACCGGATCCCACAGCTTGGGCAGAAAAGCCCTCAAGGGGCGAGGCATTGCATTCCCAGGCCTGGGGCCAGAGCATATAAGAAAAATCACTCCAGTTATACTTCTTGCTGAAGAATTAACTAGACGAGACAAAGCCGGCTCTCTTCCTCGCAGAAGAACCCGGATGACTTTCAGGGTCTTTCCTCCCCCAATGTGCCCCTGGTGACCCGGAGACACAATCCCTGGGCCTCTAGGCCTCTGAGGGGAGGTGGAGAATGTGGAACAAGAGAGTCATTGTTGTCTCATTGGAGCCTGGGCCTCTGAGCTCAAGGTGGGCCCCTTAAGATGCACCTTCACCTGCTCTGAGCCTTAGCATTAAATGCTGCCCTCCCCCTCGGGGCGCCCACCTGCCAGCCTTCAGGAGAGGCTGTCCTCTTGAGGTGGGGACGGGGAGGGGTCACACAGCAGGGCCTTTCCTTGCGGTATAAAGGACTCAGTCACCACCCTGCTCAAAGCTGAGCATCGTGCATCTGACTGCTTTCAAGTGGGACCTTCACGGTAGGCACCCCCTTCTCCGGATGGGGAGGGGAGCTGAGGTGGGGGAGGGACAGAGGGAGGCAGGGAAAGATGGAGGGAAAGAGCAAGGGAGAGGGTATTTCAGGGGGCGTCTGGGACCTGGGTGCTGCTCCAGCTTGCAGCCAGAAGCCCAAACGCACTCTGAGCCCTTGTACAAGGAGCTGCACTACCAGACATTTGGTGGATTTACCTGGGGAAAAATCCACCACATCATATCAGAGAGGGGCCCGCAACACTTTGTGTGCCAGCATCTCTCCCTAGGGCACCTAGTGTGGACATGAAATAATCTTTAATTAATTATGGGCCAGCCTTGCTGAGCACCTGGTACATTCCGCTTGACCCTCACGCCACTCCAAGGAAGCACCGCCACATGGGCATTTTACTGCCCAGGAAAATGCATTCCAGGTGGCTCCAGTACCCGGCTCAGGACACTCAAGTGAAAGGTGAGCCAGGACTCCAAACAGTGCATGCAGACCAAGGCGAGGCCCTGGGATCCTTCAGGCCCACAAGGACAGCTCTGCCCTGTGGAGCCACTGACAGCCCCAGAGGCACCCCTGGGCAGATTAGGAAAAGGCGGTCTTGGCTCCAGGAGGACACAGCCCACAGCCAAGGTCACCTGACTTGGCCGACAGAAGGATGTTGGACTTCAGCAGCGGCCCTGCACCATCCGGCCCTCACACCCTAATGTGCACGGCCCCAGATTCAGGTCTCCCTCACCGCTGCTGCTTGGAGCTGACCACATGCTGCTACCTCCTGCTGGCACCGTGATTTCCCTTTCCTTAAGTTTCAGCTGAAAATTGCCCACTAGTGTCACACCACCCCCCAGTGGGTGGCTGGCCCAAGAGTCATGGCAGTTGTATAATGAATAATTAGTAGGCTGCTTTGAATGTAATGATCAGCTGGCTGTTCAGGGAATGTACATGGAGCAAAGACTTAAGTCAGATGGGCTGACCTCAGCTTGAATCCTGTGTCTGGTGCTCCACGGTGACCCTGCAGTGCTGACCCTTGGGGAAGGTGGCCTTGGCTTTACTGGACTTCTCTGAGCCTCAGTTCCCTGCCTCAGAAGTGAGGTGTGTGAGCATCAGAGTCCTGGAGCCTCCTTGAGAGGCAGTACCTAAAGAATGCTTGGTGGGGCTTCGGACACAGACATCAGCCCGGCAAAGGAAAGCAGTGTTTAAGAAATAAGACCCTGAAGTTTATAAGTTACTTTGTTCTTCATTGTGGTAAAATACACATAACATAAATTTACCATTTTAACCATTTTTAAGCATCCAGGTCGGTGGCATTAAGTACTTTCCCATCATTGTAAAACCATTCCCACCACCATCTCTAGAACTTTCTCATCTCCCTCCGTTGAAACTCTTTGTCCATTAAACACTAACTCCTCATTCCCCACCACCATAACATACTTCAGAAACATATACTAGAACTGACACAAGATGATGTCTAGAATAAGGTCACTTGTGCTCATTTACATTCTAATAAATATATGCTTAAAAAATCCAATAAATATATTTGCAATTTCAATAAACATGGCCCTCAGCCTATGTTCTCTGAGCTTCAGGACAATGCACGGGGATGCTTGCCTGAAATGGGTATCACAAGAGGAAAATAACAGCCCTCACTGCGCTGGCCTGACCACGCATCTTCACCTCACCGACCGGGGCTTCTATTCACACAGCAACCTGAGGGCTGCACTGAAACAGGCTTTACTGTGTGCCAGACACAGTGGTAGGGATTGCAAGTGTTTGGGGGCCGTTTCTCTCCATCAGGCGCTGTTGTAAGTGTCCCACATGGATGTCCTCATTCCGTCGCCACGATAACCTCATAGGTAGGTACCATTATATTGAGCTCTGGATCTGAGAAGTGGGACATTTTGACTGTAAATTGCCTATCTATGAGTCTCAGTGACCTCATCTGTAGAATGAGGGTTTCAGTGAGATCCCAGTGCCACGTCCAAGTTCAGGCATTCTGGAATTCTCTCATTGTGTGATGGGGACAATAGAAAATCTGACTTAGTAAGTGCCAGGTGGTGACCTTGACCTCAGTCATGTGGCTGTGCCTTCACTGGCTTGCCTACGGAGTTTCCAGACATGCCACTTTCCATCTGGAGATGCCCCAGGCCTCACCCTTTTTAGTCTGGTTTCCTGGCCTTGACATGAGGTCACTCAGATCTGAATCTCTGCAGGACAATCAGACAGCCTGTCGAACCCTGAAAGTTAACTTGTTCTAGGAATTTATATGGCTACAAACAGTTGTAAGCAGAGCATTCTGCTATCAGATAATAAGCAGATACTAGAGAATACTTAAGCTGAGTGGGAACCTCCATAAACTCACATCCTACCCTTTGCATTCACCAGAGGCTATGCTAGGCCCTGAGGCAGGTTCACAAGAATATTGATCCTATGGCCAAAAATGTCTTCTCCTTTGGGACACTTTTCCCAATACTGAACCCTGCCTGGAGGCAGTGGCCCACCACAGCCCTAGTTACTTTTGCAGGGCCACCAGGACATGAGCAGCCTTTGCTTCTGGGAGAGCAAATGCAGAAAAGGCTCCTTCCTCCAGGCTGATGCAGCCTTGCAGAGGGCAAGCTTGGGAGCTGAGCACTGGCTGCATTTCAGCCCCTACCTGCCCTCTTGGCACAACACCTTTGTCCAGTGCACAACCTGCGTAACTGTATCCAGCAGCCCTGTGTGTGCCACTGGGTAGCATGATCACACCGTATTAACATTCATGCTTTGTCCTAAAAACATGTTCGAAAGCAGAATATGTGCAAGTCTACCATTCACCTAACATTCTTTAGGGAGTTATAGTCCCAGGGAGCTAGAATTATCCTAAAATCCCTCTGGTCATTCAATTTTTCCTTCCCTATTAGACACATGGTTCCATGCTTGAGTGCAGGTAGGGCCCACTGAAGTTAAATGTTTGCCCACCTGCTCAGATCACAGGCCAGCTCCAGGAGGAATGTGGCAGGTTCCTGGACACAGCCCACGCTGGCCCTTCCACCCACGGCAGCCCCTGAGGCACAGCTCATGAAAGCTAGGGCTCCAGCAAAGGATTCAAATTGCTCCAAAGCCAAGGAAAGGAAGAAAAACAGCCACTTCAAGAAAATCATTGTTTGCTGGAAGGCAGTGCCGCCATGTGATTGCTAAATCCATTCATATGTGAAGTGATGGTGCCGAGGTTCAAAGTCCACCTGCTAAGTGTCTATTCCAACACTGGTGAATCATAAGATATGGGGGATTCAATTCATAGAAGTCAAGCTATAGGCTTGCTAAATGGCCTCTCTTTCCCATCGGTCTGTGAACAGCTCACAGCTAAGGTGGGTGTTTCCTCATCAGCTTTCTTGGGTGGTTGCACTGTGCCTGACACATAATAAGTGACCATGGAATAAATGGATAACTAAGTGAGTCCCAAGCTGTGTCCTCAAGGAGCACCCGGTGAAGCTTCCGTTGCACAGATGAATAGAAGGAATCGCAAAGAGAAGACGTGGTCTCCTTAACATCCTCCTGCTAGTAAGTGGCACAGCTGGAACAGAAACACTCTCCCGGCTTTCTCCTGTGACCATGCTGCATTGTGGGACAGGGAGCGCCTGTGGATCCTTATCTCACGGGGTTTCTAAAAGCCTGCTCACCGTACTCCGCTGGCTTCTCTTCCAGGAGGCTGCCCGCCGGTGCCTCAGTCTCGCCTTTGCTCTCCCATTATGCTTCTGCTTCTCCTCGTGAGTATGCTGGTGGCCCCGCACGGCGGTGAGTAAGGCCATTTGAACAGAATTTCTGGCTTGGTATGTAGTTAACATGAACACTGAGACATGCTGTCAAATGTCATCTGACTTGTTTATTACTACATTTATATCCGTGCCTAATGAGTGATGGAAATGATAAGCTATGGGTTGAATTTAATTGGTATGTTGGAGCGCCCTGTATAGTGCATGAAAGCGTGGGATGGAGATGAGGTGGTGAACTGAGAAGAGCAAAGGGCCAGGCGGCCATGGCAAACTTCTCTCCACCGAATGGCTGCTGCCCTTGTTTGGCTGATGCCCTTGGAGTGTATTGGCCTTCTTCACACCAAACGGCTCCCATTCCCCTATATAGGAATGTCAGGTGTAAAGGCAAACACTCCCACCCTGCATTCTAGAGTCCTGTCACCAAAACCTAAAGACCTCTCATCCAGCTCCTGGGTGGCCCCAGGTAATAATTCACGTCCACCTGGAGTCTGGGACGTGGATCTGAGACTTCTGGCTCCGCCGTAGTTTCTTTCTTGTTGGCACATACGCGCAGCTCACAAACACCCCAACTCACTTCTCTCCTTCCTCCAGTGGGTGGGCGCCGTCGTAGCGGATTGCACTGCTCTCTCGGCTTTCCCCCCTGCCTTCTCCTGTTCAGGTAAACTCTGGGCCAACACACTGAGATCCCCCTCTAAAGTTCCCTTCCATAGCGACGGTGAGGCAAGCAAATCCCCAAATATTACGGATAATTTATCCCAACCTGAGTTAGTGGATAATGCAAGAGGTTGCATGTTGTTCAGAAGCCTGTAAGAAATCATAGTATATCACTTAACCAAAGACTCAAAGGCTTCCCTTCAGTAAAGTTCCTTCCGAACATCGTCCCAGACCTTCCCTCCAGAGCAGCAGACAATCCACTTCTAGAAGGAGCTGGGTTGCTGCTCTTGATCATTGACTTCCTTCCTGTATGGTTGTTTCCTTATTGACATGTTTTGGTCGTGATCTGGGTCCCCAGGGCCAGTACATCTGGGGCTGGTACGTCAGTAGCTCGACCTTTACCAGGTGCTCAGCTGTTTTGATCAAATTCCAACTATGAAACTGACTTGCCTCATTTTGGGTGACAAAATCATGAAATCTTCTGCAATTTTTCAATCTCTTATTTTTTGAGGTTTCATTTATCAAAATTCATTTTTCCAAAATTTTAAGTTTAATTTTCATCTCTATTTTCCTATTCCAAAACAATAAGTATTCCTTTGATCAAAACTGCACCTTCAACTTCTCCCCAGCCACCTAGTGTTTTTTTTAATTTTTTTATTTCTCTGTAAAATTGAGGTTATTAAACATTTCTCTACCTGCCTTTCTTGCTTTATTTCTTTTCTCCCTTAGGTTACTATGACATGGTGATAATAAAAATGATAATGGTATCCTGTTATTATAAATTATTACAAACATTTATAAATGTGCCCTGAGAGATTTCATTCTCAAACACAGTTAGAATTCAAATAATTACAGTCATAGGAAGTTTAAGTGCAAACATATACATTTAGGTATGGATTTACAGGTGCCTTGATTTTGCAGGTCATATAAGTGTGACCACCACAGAGATAAAACTGCCCACCCAACAAAATCACCCATTTTTGTCCAGACCCTATGGGGGAAAGTTCCAATTCTGAGGCATCTGCCTGCTTGCTTACTCTCAGGGAAGTGGGTGGTGTCTTAGTCTGGCCTCCACAGATGCCATGACCAGATTTAATGTGCAGAGACTCTGTTAGAGGAAACACCTGTGAGAAAAAAGTGGGATGGCAGCCAGGAAGGTTTGGGGGGGACCAGGCAGCCATGCTGGGGAATGAGCAGTGGGACTTGGACGTGTCCTAGACCACAGCAGGGTCTACTCAAGTTTGTCAAGATCACCAGGGGCATCCATCAGGACCCCTGCCCACCGTGGTCTGCCCACAGAGGCACTGCCGGGAGCTGCGGCCTGCGGTGTGCTACGTGTGCTCCAGCTGGGGTGCTGAGGGTGCCTTCTCAAGGCTGCCCCAGTACAATCCAGGGTGGATTGCAAGACCGTGCTTGAGGCATGTGGACAGTGGCGAGGGTCTCCGTGCCTTACAAGGCCTTTCTCTGGGTGTCTCGGCAGCAGGAGCGGGGGTGGCCTCTGTGTTTGTCCTCTCCACGCACCCGCCCTGGGCAGACGCTGCCTCACACCTCTCTTCACTCCAAGGTGGCTCCTGATTTTGAAGTGCGGGAGTGAGCCAGTGGGATGGTGGTCAGGTCTGTGTTAGGAGAGGGAGATGATGCCCTTGGGCCTTCCGTCTACACTGTATGCACCCCTTACAGGGAGCGCTCCACCCAACCCACGGGATGCACCATATTGGTGCCCACCTCCCAGTGTCCACTGCATGTTCATGTCCTTCCAGAATCTCTGGGAAGGGGCTGGGCAAAGGTAGATATTTGTGCATTGCGGTTCATCTTCTGGTTAGAATACTTGATACTGTGAATCCCACTCATAACCACTAATAGACCTCCTCCCACTATATAGAGATGACATCTCCTAATTTTGCTTAGAGTTTGTAAGAGTAGGAATCTGAGATTCTAGTGGGCCATCACTCATTGGCTGATGAACAACTGGCCATTTGATGACATAGTTTATTGATTAAAGAGATTCCAACTGAACTTGTGCTTCCATCTGTCATGGTGTTTACCCTCAGTAAGTTCCTAGTTTAGTGGATGAAGCTATGACATCAACAGATTATTGCAACCTGGGGTCACATATACAATGAGTGGAGGATGTCCCAGCATCACGGGAGGCAGGGAGGGTGTCCTGACCCCTAGGTTGGGAGTCGGGTAGGGCTTCTTGAACTTTGAGTGGCAACTTCAAATGTCAGGAAGAGTCAGTAACGTAAAAGGGAGCAGACAAAGCCACAAGCAAAGCTGGGGAGCAAGAAGTAGTGCGGCATCTAGAAAATGATAAGCTTTTTGGCATCTGAGAAGCACGAAGTTCCAGGTAGGAGGTGGTTCAGCAGAGCTAGGCAGGAGCCAGGTCAAGGACAGCCTTGTGAGCCAGCCAGAAGAAGCCAGAGCTTCAGGGACGGGTCTCAGTTTCATTGTCTATAAATTGGCAATGACAGCACGTGCCAGTACAGGATTAGATATGGTCACGTGTGCAAAGTAAAGCCCCGAATGGTGTGATTGCTCATCACTTCCCTTGACAATAAACGGATATTGAGTCAGCACCAATTTGTTCTGGTGAATCTTTTCCTTATGTTGCCGCTACCTTCCATCTCCCCCAATAAGCCCCCCAGACTTGGTTTGTGAACACGGTGCCCTGGGACACACACTTTAAAATCCAGGGTGCCTTTTTTAGTTGCTAATGAAAATGTGTGGATGTTGGTGTCCTGAGTTAGGTGGTGCATGGGGGAGAAGCATACCATGTTAGCACCTCCCGGTAATAAGATCAGCTCCTGCCAGCAGAATAAGAATTTAATTCTCAGCTGCACAAAGAAAATTACTGTGAAATAATCATCAAAGAGCAGGCAATATTTTACAATCGCTGCCTAAGAGGGCTGGCATGCTAAATACTTTCGGAGGCAATTACGCGCAATGTAAAATGTACTGGAGTAATTACACGGGTCCTGTGATGAGACTCAAATGGAACTGAAGCCTTGGGCCTCCCTGCTTATCTGCAGGGCGCTGCTTCTGCACAGCCCTTGGCCCTCAGGCCATCGTCTCCACTCAGAGGACTCAGCAGCCCCACTGACTTCCTGTGAGGTGTTCCAGACACTCCAAGGGGGATGAATTTTATTAAGAAAAACATGTGCATGGCATCCTCTGGATTATCACTTGAAGGGGTAACGTAAGAGACAAGGTCCAGACAGATGGTCACTACTTCAGCCAGGATCTGTGCCCTGTGCCCTGGTTCTTCCTCTCTAAGCCTGGTGTTCTCTACCAGGGGTGCCTTTGTCTCCCCCAAAGCTGGTGTCTATCCACTATATGCTCTATGGCTGAAGCTGGGCTTTCTGCCCAACTTCCTACAACATACAGGACAACCCCCATAACAGAAAATTTTCCAACCCAAAATATCAATAGTTGGAGGTTGAGCAACCCTCTCAAAGCTGAGCAGGGCCTAGTCAGGCATTATCAGGAAAACTTTCCTAAACAGATTTCATCAAACATTCTTCTGTGAAGGTCACTTTTTGTGGCTTTCAGATTTACAGATTTCCAAACAATGTCAAGCTAATTGCCCTGACTAAATTGACCATTTTGTGAAGAAAGACAAGAATCTTTCAACGTTTTCAGACTACTTGCATGCTGTGTGTAACTAGGGGGAAACAATCAAACAAACAACGTGAGCATGAGCATGTCTGCAAGCTCTCTGAGCCCCTGGGAACTCAGGTGCCCTAAGCTTCCTGCCCCCACTGCTTGGCCTGGGCCCCGGCCCGCACCCTCCCACCCTCCGGATGAAGTGGCAGCTGGAGGTGGTGGTAGCAACTGAGTGCTGGCACCGGCCCTCCGCCCTATCATCACTTTCTCCCAAGCAGTATTTCTCAAGGTGTGGTTCCTAGACTATCAGCTTCAAAACCAGCTGGGAACTGAAAAACCCCATTTCTGAGCCCCACTCCAGACCTGCTGGATGAGACTCGAGTCTCAGGAGCCAGAATGTTTACTGAGCCCACATCCCAGGTGAGCTTGATGCTGATAGTGTGGAGAAAACCCTGTCCTTTATTATAAGCTCCGTGGGGCTGGGGTCCTTCCATGTCTATACTTCCTCTCCCCAATCTTCATCTCTTGGTATTCCAAAAGACAAGTGATCTAAATTAAAATGGTATGCTTCACAGGCAACAACACCTTCAAGATATAGTCCTAAATCTCTCTATCCTCACCCAGAAGGCCACTCTTAAGGCCAACCAATACGGAACACTGGGGCACCTTTATTTTCTTCCACAGAGACCTGGCACATAGCAGGTACTAGAGAAATATGCGTAGAATTGAATTTACGTGCATTCTGGCTGCCACCTCCCAAGTCTTAGCCCAGCAGGTAGGCAGTATCAGTGCTTTTGATAACATTCCTCTCCTCGATTGTAGGGGGCCACCCTCTAGACACCCCCCACCTTGCACAGGAGCTGCCCCCTGGACTCTCAAAAGATACCAGTAAGTATTCTTTGAACTTTTCTTAAGAGACCTGCTGAAAAGAAAGTTTTCTAGGATATCAGCAGAGAAAATGCCTCCTTCTAAGTATACCCTGGGTCACTTACTGCTGTGACATTTGTAGGTAAAGTGGTTCAAATGAGACTCAAAGCCTCTCCATCAACAGTCTCCCCTGGTGTCTGGCCACCACTGAACTTTGAGACCATGTACTAAAATCTCCCACCAGAACAGGTCAGCTGAAAGGGGAACAGGAGAAGGAAGTAAATGAGCTGATCATGAAGGTTATATGGTAGCTGTATTTTAGGTTCCGATTAAGCTCTGAGATTCCTAGAAGGCAGGACAGAAAGAGAAAGACGGCGTATTACAATGCTCTTGTTAGAAGAAAGGAGGAGCCATTGTTGTTCCTTTGGAAAGGGAAAGTTTTCTGGTGATGGACTGTGAAGATTTCCCAGTTGCATATTTATATAGTTATTGCTAAAGAATGCCGTGCATAATGAATTAAGCTGTTGACATTAGCCCAGAATTAAGAGTTCGTTTCTGACTTTCTGAGATGTGAGCTGAGTCAGCCCAAGTACTTGTGCACGAGCCCATGCAAGCAAAGTGATTAGTCCCACCCAGACCCAAATGATAATGTGGCCTCTCTCCAAATGGCATTGCCCCCATGGCAAGTGCAATGCCCACCAGGAGGGCTTCTGCAAAGATGTTAAGACTCACAGGCCACACTTGGCATGTAGAAAGGATCAAGGCCAGGAAACGTAGTGCTCAGGCATTTCTCTTCAGGGAGAGTGGCCCCGGCAGCAATCCACACAGCAGTCCAGGAGCCCCAGCACACCGGCCCAGGTACAAGGGAACCGAGCTCATATGGGGCAGCCACAGGACCTGCCCTGGCCAGAAACGTCATTCTCCCTAGGAATCAGTATCTACAGGAACTACTGCAGAGGTGTAATCTTTAGGATGCCCAGAAGGGACATGCTTAGTTGCAAGAGTCATCACACAGAAGGAGACCCAACACGCTGACTCCCAGCAGGTATTTAGAGCTCAGCCGTAGTGCCCACCAGTCCAGATACACCTCACCACGCAGGGGTCTTATCTACCATTGAGCCATGTTGCCTAGTAACACAATTCCCATCTCAGCTTAGCAGGTCTCCTCGGTAAACTGTGTTACTACAGAGTTAGCCCAAGGTCAAATCTATACTTAGAGAAAGAAAAAGGGTTTACTTACTCTCCTCCCAGGGGGTGTCAGGGAAGGGGAAGCAGCCCTTTAATTTGTTTTCTCTTCCTTCCACTTAGATATCACATTATATGAAGGGATGTTTAAAAATGGGGAAAGTGTGGCCGAAGTTTTTGGTAAGTTAAATTTGCAATTGCTTTCAGCCATCAGGTGTCAGGGCAGGGGCCTGTGAGAAATGACCGGGGCCCTGGTCTCTGCCCTCTGAGTTTTTAGGACTCCCACCTGCCACTGCCTAGCAAGCTCTGAACAACCTGATCTGGGCTCTGATGAGAGCAGTGGTGCTGCTTAGATGGCAGGGGAGACACATGGCTGCCAGGTGCCAGGTGCCTTCAGAGTCCTTACTTCCTTAGCCCTGATCATAACCTGGCCAGGTATCCCATCGCAGATGGAATCAGGAGACACGACCAAGACCACACAACTAGAAGGGGGCAGTTTTCCTGAGTCCAGGGCTGAGTCTCCTGCACCAAAGTAGGTTTGTTTTCTCTCTCCAACTGATAGATATACACAAGGCCTAAGAATTTCAAAGGGTGTCAATATTCCATTTACCATGTGACTCTCTACCATGTGACTATCAATTACAGACACCATGATAGTGCCTATTATTGATTACTAAAAATACCCCAAAAGTGAGCCTATCAGATGACTGAAAGGAGCAGGCTCTGAACTGCTTTGGCTTAGACAAGGCCGTGCATAAGGCTGCACTTCAGTTGTACATGTGATTACGTGCAGGGGCCCTGTAAGTGTTTGAATGAAAGTGCATGCTTATATAAACGCACACACACTAACCTTACATGGCTTTTTCCATCACTATAGAATCATTGCTTCATTTTTCTGATGAGGCCGTGTGGAAATGAGGCATAGGAAAGGAGTTTGAATGCACTGAGGTGTAGGAAGTCCCAGAAAGGAAGAAACCAGGAGAACAGGTGCGGCTGGAAGTGGCCCTCACAGCCCGCTTTACTCTCCCCCAGGCTGTGCACTTCAGTCAGTGCTGTGGGGTCACTCGTTTAGTACTGAGCATCCTCCATCAGGAGGGAGAAGATGGAGAGGGTGAGCACAGAGTTAAGAGTTAGAAAACAGGATTTTGCTCTCTTGCCAACTTTGCAAGAGCATTTTTGTTAAGGGCAACCCGTCATCATGGTTGGTACCTCAGGCATGTCTCTGGGCTTCAGTTTCCTTACCTGTGACATGGAGGTGGCAGAATAGCAACTCCTTGCAGATCAACCTGAGGCTTACGGGACAACAGACCAAGTGAATTCTTTCTAAAGAATTACTCACTTTATCTGTTTAAAGCACAAAAATATTTAAAGTACAAAAATATTTAAAGCATCTAGCACAGTTTCAGGCACATAGTAGGTGCCCCCAAATTATTATATCTTTACCCCTTTTCTTCCTGCACTTGCTTATAGTTCTCTAATGCTGGGACTATGTCATTTGGGATCCATTCATCAAACTAATAGTGACTTACATAACAAGACATTTAATTATCTTATATAAGCTGTCTGAAGTCAACCAGATTAGTGCAGTAGCTCAACACAGGTATCAGCAACCCAGCAGGCTCATTCTCTTTCCCTACTGTGACCCTGGGTACAGTGGTTTTTCAGCTTTAGGGTTGGGGCCTCATGGTTGCAAGGTGGTTGCTGCAGTTCCAGCCAGCATATTCTCACCCACATTCAAGGAAGAAGAAATATGCAGATCAAAATGATCTTCTTACATGCCTTTACTTCTTATGAGGAAAGAACTGTTTCTCAGAAACCACTAACAGACTTCCCCTTACGTTGTTTTGGCCAGATCTGGGTCACATGCTCAGCCCTAGGCCAGTCACCATTTGGAAGCATAGGATTATCATGTCCAGCTGAGAATGATCATAAAACATCCCCAGAGAGGAGAAGGCTTACCTTCCTTGAGTACTTTTCAGTTTTGTTGGTTAAGAAAGTGGGAGAAATGATGTTGGGTGAGGAACTAGAAGGCACCATGGCTTATAAACCTGCCTCCCTTCAATTGTCTAGAACATCCTGAGCCCAGGGTGCTTAGTGGGTGGAGAGGCCACCATCAGCAGCCTGAGGTGTGGGAGGCCGCAGGAACGGGGGATGCCTCCTCAGCTCTGGCTCCCAGCGCCTGCCCTGCTTTCCCTTCCCCCAGACTGCCTGGGCCCCCACTTCACCTGGCTGCAGGCTGTCTTCACCAGCTTCCCCACGCTGCTCCAGTTCGTCAATGGTATGAAGTGTGTGGCTGGCCTCTGTCCCCGGGACTTCGAAGACTATGGCTGTGCCTGCAGGTTTGAGATGGAAGGGCTGCCTGTGGATGATTCTGACAGGTGAGCAAGAACGAAGGTGAGCTCTGGGAGGCCTGGTAGGTACTCAGGCAGGGCGTGGACGTGGAGAGCTCTCAGGAGGAGCCTAAATTCTACTGCTCACCTGAGGGGCGACTGATGTCCTCATCTTTAAATTACAATAACATCTGTGATCTTTCCACATTCTAGGGACCTATCAAGATCCTATGTCATGTCATTTTAATGTTTCTCAAAGTTTGGGTCCATCTGTATCAGAACCCAGGGGATGCTTGCTAAAATGCAGATTCCAGGGACCCATCCCACACCTTTGACTCAGACTACTTTTAGGTGGAACCTGGAGGTCTGAGATTTAAACAAGCTCCCAGATGACTCTTAAGCATAAAAAAATGATCTTTTATTCAGAGAAGTCCTGGCCACCAAAGGTAAAGCAACCATGAAGGCTTCTATTCAATTTTCAACAAACATGCAGAAGTACCAATAATATATGAATGCTGTGCTTAATATAAATAGAGCTTAATATAAATAGAGCAGTGTTCCTGACCCAGAGGTAAACAGCTGGTGAATCTGGAGAAAATGGAGTGTCTGGCAAAGATGTGCTCCCTCCCTGAATACAAGGGAGGTGCAAATCAAAACAAGATACCAACTTGTACTCTTTATATTGGCAATAAAATTAAAAATCTCAGAAGCATCAAGTTAGCAAGCCGTGGCAGTGTTAGTGCAGCAGCTACAGGAGTGACAGTGACGGTGGAAACAGTTGTCACAGCAGCTGCAATAGTGTGAATGGTGACTGTGGAGTAACAGCAGCAGTACTCGTAGTAGAAGCAGCAGGACTAGTCAAGCTGTAGCCGCAGTGGAGGCACCAGTTCGGGAGCAGGACACTGAACCCACATCTCTCCTCTCCTCAGGGGCGGACCCCTGCCTCCCTGGTGTTATCCCTCTGTGTGACGGAGTGTGTGCTTTCTTCTGCACAGACTCTCAGCCCATTGCCTGCCCTGCATTTCTCCTCTGGGATGCCCTCCTTGAATGCCTTGCCTCCAAGGCACCAGGGCAACTTGCACGCTCCCCAAATGCCAGTGGCCCTTCCTCGCACTGACCACATGGGAGAGCGTGTGCACACCGCCCGGCTCCCTACTCCACTCAGCGTCCTCTAAGGAGGCTCTGCACCCTATCGTTTCTTTGTACTTGCAGCACGGACCACAGCACCTGGCACATAGTAGGAGCTCAATGAACGAACTGATTGACTAGGCGAGCAACTTCCAGTTGCTTTCCTGAGAATTAAAATTAATTAATTAATTAAAAAGTGACATGTCCTTGATTGACAAAGAATAATGGTTTTTGAATTCAACAACAGATCTTCCTGTCTCCAAATCTCCAGGAGAGAGTGTGAGTTGCCTGGGGACCAAGGGCAGTTTCCTGTCTCTGGGCCGTGAGCAAACTGACTCCTGGAGCCAGCTCGTTGACGGACAGTCAGAAAGAGCCAGGCTGACGCTGACAGGGGCACTGTGCCAGGGCCCTTTGCGGAAACAGCTCTTGCAGGTCCCCCCTTATCACCTCCTTTAACTGTTAGAAGCCCTTGTAAACCTAGAAGGCAAAGAAACGAATCAGTAATTGACGTTGAGCAGCCAGAGCACCAGTGGCCGAAGACTGGCAGAATGGTGGCCGCACCCAATTTCCGTTTCTTTACACAGTTCAGGGCATGGGGGTGGGGGTCTCCAGACTCCTGGAGGACAGGCTTCTTCCGCCGTGAACTGGCACACTGGACTCCAAGGATAATTGCAACCATTTATTGAGCGCCACCGCATGGCAGGACCTATGTAGATGTTTTCTTAAATCCCCAAAATTCTTACAAGTTAGGCAATGTAAGAAATTTAGTAGTTTGCCCAAGGTCATTGGCAGCCTGTGTATTTTTTCGTCTTTACATCAGTCCCCACCAACCTCCGTGTGCACTGCAAGGGCTACCTGACAGTATTGTGTGTGTGTGTGTGTGTGTGTGTGTGTGTGTACCAGGTATTTGAAGCAGACCACCTCCAGGAGCCGTACAGAGACAGGATGACCATGGGCTGCCTGCCCCTCTCCTAACCGTCACTCACACTCTTGCCCTGACCTTTCCGCATTCTGCCGCAGCTGCTGCTTCCAGCATCGCCAGTGCTATGAGGAGGCGGCTGAGATGGACTGCCTCCAAGACCCTGCCAAGCTCAGCACAGATGTCAACTGCATCAGCAAGACGATCACATGTGGTGAGCATCTCTGGTGTTCCCAGGCTGGGCTGAGAAATGAATGTTCCAGAACCCCAGGCTGGCACCAGGTTCCTCTCTCATCATTGCCATTGGCAACTTCCCCATCTCTCCTTAGAGCCCCCAAGGATCAGGTCTACGGCATCTGTACCTTGCCCGGAGTAGATATGCAATGCCTGCTTTTTGAGTTGAACTAACAGTTTGAATTTGACTTACAATTTTATACTGACAGCAACCCAGGAGCTTGGCTAGGGCAAATCGTTTGCTGCCTGTGCATTGGGTGGCACTGGGCAACTACTTGACTCGGGGGAGAAAACCGGCTTCAGAAATCTGTTATGAAATTAAAAATGTTTAAATGGAAATCAATGTTATTTGTTAAATGTAAACTACGCTAAATGTAAAACAGCTAATATAGTGACTGGAAAATGTTAAGAACTCACTCATGAAAGTGTAGGCGGAAGCAGTGATAGATGAATAAGGCTTGTGGTCATTGCTATTTATAAGACTCAGGCATGCGTAGGTTCAAATCTCATCTCTCCACCTTACTCACTGTGTGACTCCAGGAATCTTATTTCATGTCTCTGGGCAATCCTGGCAGAAGAAGTAGGATCGGAAAGGCATAGAGAGAAGGGGAGCACGGCAGATCGGGGTGCTCTGTTAGAGCCGCCCTCCATGGCTTCATGCACAGCAACTCTGGTCATCCTAGCAGCCCTTTGAGAAGGGGGTCATTATTCCAGTTTTACGTTAAGGAGAGAAAAGCTCAGAGGAATTAAATCACATGTCCCAAGTCACGTAGCTGCTCAGTGGCAAAGCCAGGCTTTGAACCCAGGTTTGACTGACTATGAAGTCCAGGTGACATGGACTGGCTGGAGTGTGGAGCTTCAGGAAGGGAGTGAGGAGAAGCAAGGGCATCGGTCACTAGGTGAGGTACACCGTGAGCACAGAAAACACACTTCACTCATTCACTCATTCACACATTCATTCAGCAGATAATGGGCTGAGTGCCAACCATGGGCAAGATGATCATCTAGGTGCTGGGGATGTCTGACCTTCTGAAAATTCCTCCTGGTGTCAGAACCTGAGAATATCAATAACAGATGATGCAGGATTTTAGACAGTGACAAGAGCTGTGGAGGAAGATGAGGCCAGGGAAAGGCATAGAGAGGGCAGGGCCGGCTGGGATGACGGCCCGGGACAGGACTCCCTGAGAGGATGGCGAGCGAGGGCAGACCGAGATGGGCAGCAAGCAGCCTGCAGCTGCCCGGGGCACACAGGGGGCCCGAGGCTCTGTGCACCTGGTGTGTTTGAGCAGCCGGCCAGTGAGACGGCACTGGATGAGGCGGGAGGAAGGAGACGACATCTAGGAGGTCATTAGGGCCTGTAGGAGCAGGGACACTGGCTTCTAACGCCGAGGCAGAAGTTGTTGGAGGGTCTGAATGGCAAACACGACATGGTCTGACCTGAGTTTTAGAAGGATTGTCCTGGCTGCTCAGTGAGAATAGGCTGGGTGAACGGGTGGAGAGACTGGTTGGAAGGCCACTGACATAACACAGGCAGGAGATGACGGGGCTGCCCAGGGGGTGGAGTGGCCATGGGGCCACATGTGGAAAGTGGAGCCACAAGGATGGCCTGGAGGGTGGGGTGAGTGGGAAAGATGGGAGGGCGCCCGACTCCAGGCTGGGGCTGACAGGAATGAGAGGCACACACCTGCCAGAGGGCTCGGGTTTGTCTGGGGAGGTAGGAACCAGTTTGGGAGTTGGCATTACTTCTTGGGACTGGAAGTGAGACCCTCCAATCTGCTCTTCCCTTGCTCTGTGTGCAGAATCTAGGGATGCTTGTGAACACCTGCTGTGTTCCTGCAACAAGGCTGCCATAGACTGCTTGGCTCAGACCAGGATCAACTCTTCCCTGAACCTTCTGGACCCTTCCTTCTGTCTGGTTCAGCCTCCAGGTGAGAGAACCTGGCCCTGTAATCAGCGGTGGGGCTGAAGACCTGGGGCAGGAGCTGCTTTGGGACCTGCTGTTGCTGTGTCTTCAGATGCAAGCCCTGCACCTTTTACCATTCCCCAAACCCGCTGCTCTAAAGGGAGTTCCCACTACATTTTCTTTGCAGAGACGACAAGCAGGCAAGAGGTGCCAACACTTCTTCCCAGAGGTAAGGCCTCCCAGAAAAGCTGCCCTTACCTGCACAACAGGGGTCAGACCACTGCTGGGAGCTGGCGGATGCACCTCCTCTGCTGGGCCTGCCTCACACAGGCTGGAGTGGCCAGTGGCACTGGAGATGCCCCACTGCCCCCTGGCCCAGGGACACCATACTTCCAATAAGCTCAGTTTAAACATCCATAACGTGGCCCTATTGCAAACACTGGCTCTGCACTACGTGGACAGGTGTGAATTTAATCCAGTCAGGATGCAGAGCCCTTGACTCTTTCTTGCTGGGGCTGCAGTGTGACCAGGACAGGCTCTAGGGCTCAGCTGCCAAGGCCTCCCAGGAGCAGAAGGCTGCCTCCCTCCTCTGCCCTCCAGGACCTGCAGCAAAGAGGACGGCCTGGATCCCAGAGGGGAGGCTTGGAGGGGATAAGGGGGGGCAGCGGTGGTTTTCATGGGTCTCTATTCAGGACCAGGTAGGCTCTTAATTGTTCATTGAAGTAAGCAAATGATAATTCTTACTTTAAAGCATGCATCTTACAAAAATGTGAGAGTGGAGATTGTGCCAGTCATTCTTTGTTCACCAGAGTTCCCCCAGTCTGTCAGTCCAGATGCCATGGGTACCTGGGGATGGAAGTTCAAGGTGCACCCAGGCCGAGTGTCCCTCCTCTCTGGGGCTGGGGTCTCTTGTCCAGAACTAGTCCTGCGGTGTTTGATGAAGAGAAAGCTGGTGTGTGTGCATGTGGATGTGAGTGTATGTGGGTGTGCAACATGTGTGTACGGGTGTTCTATCTCTATGTCCCGTCTGAGTCCAGAGCTCTTTTTCCTCTGCCATCTTCCTCCCTGTTGAACAGAGATCTCAGGTAGGGATCCCAGATTCCACAGCCACGAGCCTTCGGGGTTCGCAGCCATCTCATTGCACTGGCTGTGGCCAGTGTGTTACCTCCCCAGCAGCACCCGAGCTGGGGCCTTGCTGGGCACCCCCATCCTAGGAGCTGCACGAAGGCTGGGTACTCCTGAGACCGAAAGAGCAGCCCTGCCTGCCCACACCCACAGCAGTCCCCAGCCTGTCAGCAAGCACTGTGCCCAGCAGTCATTGCTGTGGGGGCTTTCTCCTTCCAGCAGTTCCTGTGGAGCCCACAGACCCCAGCCTCTCTGGAGAAGGTGAGTGCAGGGGGACCGGCGTGTGACCCAGATACCGACATTTCGATTGTGCCATCTACTGGATTAGCTCCCCTAAAATGCTCCCTGCCTGGGTTTGCAATGAAATTGACTGAAGAACCTTCCAGAGCCACCCCTGGTTCTCCCGACCTCCAAACCTCTTCTCTGCTTGCTCTGCCTCCTCCACACTCCCATTCCCACCTTAGAATTGTCACATAAAATGCAGGACAGCCACCCTCAGCCATCTGAAGCTGACTTTCAGATGAACAGCAAACACTTTTTAATATAAGTATGTCCCAGAATTGGCATGGGACGTATGCCAAGAAGTTATTTGTTGTTCATGTGAAATCCAAATTTAACTGGGCATCCTGTATTTTCATTTGCTGAATCTGTCCACCCCGCACCTCAGGGAGATGGCTCTGCATGACCCCCTCCCTAGAAGTTGGTTTGTCTCTCTGCTTTGTGCTGCTGCTCTGACACTAGAAGCAGAGGGTCATGCTGTAGCTCATCCTTGGCCATCCTCCATGGCCAGGGGCATCCCATCGTGCCCCCACCTCCTGGACAGCCCATGCCTGGGGGCCCAGGTCTAGAGAAAAAAGACAGTGGTGTGCATACTGAAACAAAGCACCGCCATATGCCCTGCAGCCATTCCCCGAGTGACTGACTGCGGCCAGTTCCGTTCTAAATTGAGGCTATGCTGTGGGCTTCACGGCCCCTCAGCCAATCGCACACTTTCTACTCTCTTCCTCCTGAACCACCATCCCCTTGTGGCATGGCCCTGGGAAAGATGCAAAGGAAATAAGCTTCTGCAAGGAGTCGTGCATATAGCTGGAGAAAGAGAGTAAAGATACTCACGCATTTGTCCTACCATCCCCTCCACACCCACGACCTAGGCAGCACCCACCAACACCCACCCAAGGAGGAGGCAGCCCGACTGTGGGCCCAAACATCAATACACACGTGCAAGTGTTATGGTTTGTGAGGAAAGCATATAGGGCTTGTAATCGTCCTCACCATCCTGCCATGAAACAGCTGTTTGGAGTCAGGCAGATTCAGGGTGGGATCCGGGCTCTCCCGTTTCCAGCTGTGTGACTGTGGAAGTGCTGTTCAACCTCTCTAAGTCCATTTATTCATTTGCATAAAGCAAGGGCTGGCGCATTTTTTTTCTGTGAAAGACCAGATAGGAAATATTTCAGACTTTGTAATACCACAGGGTCTCTGTAGAAACTGCTTAATTCTGCCATTGTAGCAGGACAGCAGCCACAGACAGTCTTCACTGGATGGGTGTGGCTGTGTTCTAATAAAATTTTACTTGCAAAAGCAGGTCAAAAGCTGGGCCATAGTTTACCAACCCCAGGAAAGGGATGGTTATATGCATTCTTAGGGTGGCAGAAGGTTTAATTGAGAGAGAGCATGGGAAGATTCCGGACCAGGGTCTTCTTCCAGAAACTCTGGTGTGGCTATAAAAAACAGCACCCACCACTGAACCACATATGGGATGCTGGAAGCCTGCTTAAAATACATAATCTCATTTAGTGCTCACACAGCCCTATGAAATAATTGCTGTGAGCTCCATGTTAAGATGGTAAATTGAGATGGAGAGAAAATTGTCCAAGACGTAATCCTGGGTGGTGGGGAAGCCTCCTATGCGTCTTCCCTTATTTGTAGACTGAACTTCCTCTTATGCTGGCTTGCCCCACAGACCTGCTCCAATAATGGGAAGCAATGATCCTTTCTCCCAGTGAGGCATTTGCTGGTCTCTTTGCCTAAACACAGGACCGATGTTAATGCCCCCTTGCCCACTGAATGAGGACCTAATCGAGCATCAATATGCAGACTTACTCCCCAGTCAGATTGCCATCGACCCTCTCTGTCTCTGAGTCCCCAAGACTGGTTCATTTGCAGGTGACCCCTGCCCGGCTTCCACACTGAGCTGCATGGAGAGTTCAAGTTGGGCTTTTTCTTTCAACAGTGACTGCTGAGACTGCCCCACGGACCACTCTCTCCAGGACAAGTAAGCAGAGGGGAATGTGGGGAATGTGGAGGAGGACACTGGAACCCAGTGGAGACGTGTCATTGAAATATTTGCGTTCAGATCTGCTGACTGCTTTTTGACAAGGCTCAGAGGAAGTATTATACCAATTTCTGTATTATGTAGGAAACTGAGGCTCTGGGAGGTTAAAAGCACCAGGTCATTCAGCAAAGGGCTGGTTGCACTGGTCTCCAACCCTAGCTTTAGGCTGTAAGACTTGTTTTCTTTCCATCATACATTAGTGACTCATGCCAAGCAACCTCTTACCTAAACATTTCTAGACCAAGATGTCATCAGAAGAGCATTTACTTTGCTTGTGGTGATTACTAACCATCGACCCTATATTAATAAGCATAAATCACTGATAGTAACTATTTACTAATTACAGAGACACACAGAGTCCTTGACTAACAGGCATTGGCATCGCTGAGGATCTCAGTGTGCTTGCGTGTTGCTAAGGCCCTTCACACATCCCCTGAGTCACTCCTCCCTGGTCCTAGAGGCCCATTACTATCCCAATTTTACAGAAAAAGGAGAAATTCCAAGAGGTAGAGTCATTTGTCCAGTATGGCTTAGTATTCCTTTAACTCTGAATCTATCCATTTTTCCTTTAAAGAGATCCTTTCAATCTTGACCTTTGACACACTGAATTTAAGACAGTTTCTCCCTGCCAAGCATTTTGGAGTTAGCATACCCAGAAGTGAAAAGTAGCCTAGCGTAGTGGGTAAGAGTGTCAGATTTGGCCAGATAGCCCGGATTTGAATTCTGCCATTTCTTAGCTCCATGACCTTGAATAAGTGACCTAGCTTTTCTATGTGTCCCCTTTCTCATCTCTGAATGAGGGTGAGCATAGTACTAACTCACGGGTTGTCACGGAGTTCATACAAGCAAATCACGTAGTGCTGTATTTGGCACATAGTAAGTCTTAGTCTGTTCTGGCCGCTATAACAAAATGCCATAGACTGGGTGCATTATAAACAACAGACATGTGTTTCTGGAGGCTGGAAGCCCAAGATCAAGGCAGCAGCATAGTCAGGTTCTGGTGAGGACCCGCTTCCTGGCTCATAGACAGCCACCTTCTTGCTGTGTCCTTACAGGCGGAAGGGGCAGGGAGCTGCATGGGGAATCTCTTATAAGGGCACTAATCTCATTCATGGGGGCCCCACGCTCAGGACCTATTCACCTCCCAAAGGCCCGCACCTCCAAATGCCATCACATTGGGGCATAGGTTTCAACATATGAATTTGAGGGGGACATGAACATTCAGTCTACAGCATTAGTAGGAGCTTAATAACTTAAACAACCATAACAAACTCATTTTACAGAGAAACCAGGTCCAGCAGCCCTGGAGCCGCATAGCAAACAGCAGGGATCACATGACTCTGCAGCTTCATCCTTCTCTGTTCAAAAATGTGTGATTACCAAAAAAAAATTTTTTTTTTGTTCCAACTCTGGGGAAGTCTGTTTTCCTGGAGTATTTCAAAGACTCACCTGGTTCCAGCCTGGCAGTTGCAGCTGCATTTGCCAGCAAGCCCTGGTCTTGGGGGTTTTGGGCTCAGCAGCGATGCTGCCATCACCAGCTCTTCTGGGAGGTGACCAGGGGTACAGCCATGGCCACACTGTCTCCTGTGCCCAGTGGGATGGGAGCTGCCTCTGGAGACCAAGGTGGGCCAGCCTGGGGCTGACACTCACCCTGTCTCTCTTCTGCTGGGGACAGAACCAGGCCAAAATCAAGAAGACACGGAAGCTGCTGGGGCCACACCCCCTCCAGGTAAGCACACTCAGTCTCTCTGGTCTTTGTTGTCATCACCTATACATTTATGAAATCAAATGTGTTCCAAACGATGGAAGAAATCATTGAAGCCAATCTACTTTTACATGCCTACAAAAGCAGACAAATGAAAAGATATTTCCATTAGTAGGAAGAAATGGAAGGTTACCTGCTGAAGACATGAATTTAGAAAAATGCAGTAACCGTATTTCATTTTCTATTTAAATCACCTGTAATTCCACATTTTAAGGCCACTTTTAATATTGGAAGATGCTTTCTCCTAGACTCCCCTGACCCCAGAGGATATATCTATGAACATAAGGAAAATGGAGAATACTTGGCAGCCATGGTTTTACAGTCTGGGTTATGTTGCTTCATATAATGCGATGATATTTCCCTGACATTCAATATTTTTCTGCAACATGATTTTGAGAGGCTGTCCAATAGTTTCTTATGTGGGACCCCATAATTTATTTAGCCAATTATTTTTAACATTTGTTATAAATAATAGATGTACACTTTCCTTATACCCATTTACTTCGATGAATTCATCAGGATTAATGCCTACAAGTTGAATTACTGGATAAAGGGTATAAGGGTTCTCGATGTGTTATCAAATTACCCCAGAAAGAAGGTGAACCAATCTGCACTCGTATGCTCATTACAGCAGCCAGTACTGCGTACTATTACTTAAAAACAAGCACACACAAAAAAACGGTACTCATTTTAACAGAAAAGAAGTAGTTACTCATTTTGTTCCTCCTTCTCCATCTCATGGAAATTGAAAGTGGTACTTTTTTGTTCCTGAGCTTGGCTGGCCTCTCACTCTGGGAACTTTTGACCAGACCTGGACAGAATTACCAAATCGTAACTGGCTTTATGGAGGTGGCCCATCAGGGTCAGAGCTCAGGGTATGGGACCGACTGCTCTGAGACGCACAGTGACCTTTCCAGTGTGGGCTGAAAGGCGGCAAGAGAAATTATTCGTCAGTGGTGTGGCCAGTCAGGCAGAGTGATTCATACCAAATGCCCTCGTCTAAGAGGAATGGGGGGTCTCAGATTTGATTAGCTCCAATCATCCCGGAAGCTCTTCCTCAAGGGATGAGGGCCCCTAGCAGAGTCTCAGACTTAACAGGGACCAGACACTGGGCTTCTGGGAGCTCCATCAGCTTGTGGAACTTTCCACCTGGAGAGTCTATAATCCCAGATTAGACGTATGGATGTTTTCACACTCACTGAGCAATTCCAACAGCTACAATCCAGTTTCATCATTTCTAGGCATTTAGATAGAAGGATTATTCAAACACTGTAACAGGTATTATTGACATAGTTGTACAAATGGGGAAATTAAGATCGAGAGTGGCTGGTGATCTGCCCAAGGTCATACATCTAGTGAGTGGCTGAGCTAAAATTCATGCTTTTACCTCTCTGTTCTTTCCCCTCTGCCATGCTCACTCAATGAGTTTTGGCAAAGAGAGACAGGGCCAGGCAGTTGTGAAAGGTGCTAAGACGTTTTATTCAGGCTTGAGCCAGCAGAGAAGAGAGACTTCAGTTGAGACTAAACAGCTCAACTCGGATCTGCAGGGGTGGCTGGGCATTTGAAAGGGAGAGGAGGGGCTGCAGCTAGCAGGGGCTCCACAGAGTCAGGAAGTGGAAAATTCCAGAAAGGGGGTAGGGAGCTGTTTTCTGGGAATGATTAGGCAAGGCAGGTGTTGGGACACTGAAATTTGGCTGCCTTCAGCTTTCTCAGGCAGGAATTTAAGGGGGAGCAGGGGGCTGGGTCATCCCAGGGAAACCAGGCCAGGGTTTAAGTCTTTTAGTGGGAGGGGTGCACACAATAGTTTGTGCCAGGAGTTTGCGGTCCTCCCAAGCCCAGGTTGAGGCCTAGTTGAGCAGCTCTCAGAGGAGCCTGCCTCAGGTTTGGTCAAGGAGAGTGTTTGCTGTCTTGGGCAGTGGGGACGGGGAGGGCCACTGGCTGATGGGTTTCTGTCTGTGGAGCTGGGGAGCCATAAAGGTGTGTGTTTGCAGCATCTGCAGACATTGCTGCCGCGATGAAAGGTGTCACCGTTGGCCCTGCTGGCATTAAATCTTTGGGGTTGGCTGTGTCATCTGGCAAAAGTGGTCCTGAGGAGACCCCTGGTAAAGGTGAGCAGAAGCAGGCAGAGAAGGGTCTGTCCCCTCCCCGCCCCGGGATCCTTTGGATAGGTGAACATAGCCCTTTAGATCACTAGGTGCAATTGGGACCCCTCATGTTGTGTAACAAGAGGGTTCCATCCCCCTTGCCAGGTGAGTGCATGAGGCTCAGAGGAGACTGGACTTACCTGTAGGCACTCAGCTGCTGGGAAGCTGAGGTGGGGACAGGACCCCTGACTGAGCCCTCTCCCCACTCCTCCAGGCCCTAAAGAAGTTCCTTGCACCCATCCATACCGTGGATCATTGGAAAGAAGGAAACACTTGGGTTTTAATAATCCTGCTCCATCTCTCCCCCTCCTGGATGCCTTACCGAGGACCCTGTCGCCACGAGGGGCCAAGGCAGCTGGGCACAGAGGGGGACTTCGTTAGTACATGTGCAAGCCCGCTGCAGTGTGCAGTGCAGAGCTATGGAGAGCTGCCCCTGAGGGCGAGGCTGGGCCAGCAGCCCGAGCAAGACCTCTAGCTTCTTAGTTCCCCCACCAAACCGATGACGACAAGGTTTGCCCCGTAGACTTTAGTGCCACTTAGCCAATGTTGCCGCAGAGGAGGAAGACAATGGGGCTGTGGGGAGGGCAGAGAGAGGGACAGAGCAGAGGCAGAGACACTGCAAACAAAGCAAGGGCTCTGAGAGGCAAGCCCTGCTGGGTGTGCTGACCTGAGGGAGCCAGGGAGACTAAGAGGGCAGCCAGGGCCCCCCTAGGGGCTGGCCCTGCTGGATTCCCAGGGGAACGCAGTCACTCTGCACAGTTATAAAATGTGGCCTGACGAGCATCGTCAGTCCTGACTGGTCCCCACCCCTTCGGAGGACTGAACAGGCCGTCTGGGCAGTGGTAGGAGCCTGTGAGAAATACCTGTTTTCTGACAGGTGACTCACAGGTGGGGACGAGCCAGAAATCGGTTTTCCCAGGAGAATGGGGATGGGGTGGTGGCAGAGGACATGGTTTTCTTATACCATCAGTGCCCATCTGGATTGCTGCCTGCGTTCAGTGAGGGCTGCCCTTTGTTCCCCACATTTCTTGTTCTCCTGAGAGTCCTTGCTTCTCACCAGCCTGTGACAGGTTCACCTTCCTGCACCTGGGAAGTGGGGGCAACATGTGGGTGATGCCACAGCTTGGACAGATGCTCTTTTGTCTGACGTCCCGGTGCCCAGAGGAATTTGAATCTTACGGCTGTTACTGCGGGCAAGAAGGACGAGGCGAGCCGAGGGATGCCCTGGACAGGTACGGACTGGTGAAGCCCACAAGCTGGCGTGCGGGTGCTTAGCCCTGAGAACCCTCTGTGCTGGCACAGCTCCAGGCTTCCCAGGGAGCTTGTTGCACGTGCCACCCCACTCAGCGTGGCTCGTCACCATTATAGGCGCATTTCCCTCATGAGCAGCGGGGCTCAGACACGTGTGAGGTCATTCAGCTGTGAAGGGGCAGAGCCAGACAGACCCAGACCTTTTGACTGGGGAATCTGGAGCCTTTAGCTCCACCACGAGAACCACCCAGCTGCCCTAAAAGGGTTGATCTGCAGAGACACAGCAGAAGTTAACAATCTGCCCATTTTCCAATGAACGAGGTAATGAATACGTGTCTCCAGTCTGTTTTCCCTGCAGGTGGCCACACTCAAATTAATTCTCAACAACTTTAAAGTGTAGCTGTTAAATTTTATATCTACCACTCTTGGAGGAATTTCCATGCATTAATTAATTTATTCATATATATATGTGCATTCAACCCACATTTCTTGAGCTTTGCTTCATGCTGGCCTCTGTGCTAAGTGGTGGGGATTAAACCTAAACAAGGCAGATCAGAGCAAACTGCCTGTGCCCCAGAGAGGCTTCCAAAGAGAAAGAGATGGACAATTAAACAAAAACCCTACCCAATATAGTAAATGCCGTAGGAGAAAGGAAGGAAACCATGGAGATGTCAATCTGGAGGCGAGTGTGGGGATTATTGGGCAATATTCTGAAAGCAGAGCTGATCAGGTTTGAAGACTGAATGCAGGTGGAGCCTGCCCCAGTCCACAGCCAATTCAGAGCTCTGCATTCAAAAGGCACGTGCCCTTCTCAGACGGTGCACTTGCCAGAGGAAAATCAACTACAGCTGGTATAGTAAAAAGAAAAAGACAAGGTTTTTTGTCATTGGCACAAAGGCCATGCTGGTGTCCGGCCCATGGAACATATCGACTGCGGCTCAGGTGGCGTCTGGAGGGCTGTCTCTCTCACCACCCACCACCCAGCTTTCCCATAGGTCTTCCTCTACCCCCGATGCAGCCAGCCTGGCCCTTCCCCCAGCCTCTGCAGGGCATTCAGTGAGATGGAAATCAGGGGCTCTGCCACACAGGCAACCTTCAAAACTCACCTCCCACCGGGTCACCCTAAAGGTGCTTTTGAATATATACATACATCAATGTGGAATCATAAGCATGTCTCTCTCATGAAATTGGACATATGCCCTCTGCTGTCCAAGACAGAAAACCACTTAAATATTGGTTCTGAGTCCAAAGCGCTCAGTGAGGTGAGGCAAGGGGTGGGGGTCTACACTGCAGCAGTCGCTGTGTTCTGCTGAACCCCATGGAAAAATGCTGGGATGCCTGTGAAGAGGTTTCCTGACCACTGGCCATATTTCACAAAAGCATAAGATTTGATCAGGCAGGCAGGCAAGTAAGTTATGTTATGGCTTCCTTGACGTCCATAAGGAAGGAACTGAAGAACTGAAACCACTTTCTGCAAGGGTGTCTTTTCAAAACTGTGCATACTTTACATTCTGGGCAATTTGAGTGACTTCAGATTTTAACCATTATATTAACTATCTGCTATCACCCTCCCCAGCCAGATGCACACTCAAGATCGTGTGTCTCTGCTGTAGTAACAGCTGAATGGGGGCTGCCTTTGGCTGATGCATCATGCAAGGTGGGGTTGTTCCTCCGATTGCTAGCTGCGTGGAAAGGCTGGTACGCTTATGCCCTGCTGAGCCCTAGGGCTGCCGGCAAGCTGCAGCTCTCTGATCCTGCTTGGGTTGTGGTCTCCAAGGTCAAGGGAGAGCTATTACAGGACAGGGAAGAGCTGAAAAGGATTTAGGGAGCAGTTGCCGCCCCCATTTTGGCTGGAGCAGTCACAAGGACCCTCAGAAGGTCCATCTGGCTGAGGACACTGGAGATTGTGAGGCTTTGCCAGGTCCAATGGGTGCGTCTAAAAAGCAAGGTATTGATTCGTTCCATGTTTACTGAGGTCTTGCTCCATGCTGGCCACCTTTCTAGCTCTATTTCTTTATTTATGCTCAAGATAGTCACTCTGCTCTCTTTCAAGGCTGGGGACCAAGGGAATGTCCTGTGGGTGTGGGATTAACTGATTTGGCATGTGGAAGGCTGGAGGGAGTGGATTCAGTGCTAGCCCATTGGTATCTTTGTGTAAACTAAAAATGGTATTCCTTCCTCAAGACTATTTCCATCTGTTTTAAAATTACTATAAAAACAGGCAAATCATTCAACTTGTAGTCAACAGAATCATAATAACAATATAAAAATAATTTTTTTAATAGTAAGTTTAAGAGCTATGGGCAAACGCTAAGGGTTTTCCTTGGTCTCAGGTGCTGTCTGTCTCACCACTGCTGCCTGGAGCAGGTGGGAAGGCTGGGCTGCCTGCTCGAGAGGCTTCCCCAGGCGCCGGCGGTGTGCGTGGACCACACTCCCAAGTGTAAGTGCATTGGCCTCACAGTGAGTTATTCTTCCATTCAGGCCAGTGGCGTGACCACAGTTTATGCGTGGAGATGCTTTCCAAGGTACTTCATACTGTCATTTAATACTCTCAACTTCGAGGCACACGTTAGGACCTCTCCTCTACGGGTGAGGAGCCTCAAGTTCTAGAGACTAAGTTGGCTGCCTGAAGTCACACAGCTGGTTCAGAGCAGAGTGGGGAACAGTATCAACAGCCCACGCTTCTTGTGTGCCTACTAGGCGCTGTTCTAAGCTCTGATGTAGTAATCCACAACAGCCCTTGAGGTAGCACTGAGGCATCCCATTTTCTGGAGGAGGCGGCTGAGGCCCAGACCGCACGGGTAGAAGCGGTCAGGCTGGGATTGGGAGTAAACCATTTGCCTCAGGCTTGAACTGAGTCTTCACTTTGCACGTGGGTTTTAAAGGAGTCTTTTTCCCTGAAGAAGCAGAAACCGTGTCCCCAGGGAGATCCTCTGAGGAGCCCTATGGACAGGGGCTGCTCTGGCGGAGGGAGGGGTGGCCCGCAGCTCTGCACCTCCGGTGCTGGAGGCTGAGGCTCACCTGTGGCCAGTCGAGGCTTGTCCCTAGAGCCCCCTCTGGCTGCATGTCTGGCTTGTTCTAGAACAGGCTCTGTGCACGCTCACTGGCTCCATTTCCTCACTTGGACGGTGGATGCATTTCCCTTATGCTTTACAGTATAAAATGAAATGCTCCCCGCAGCATTCACAACAACCCCGGGAAGGTTGCTTCTCTTCCTCGCTTCCGTCTGGGGAAGCCCCACCACTGAACCCCCTCTGCAAACTGCAGGGACCTGCACACTATCTTGCTTGTAGGACCACGTGTGCCTCTCACGCTCCCAGGAGCTGTGTTTACATCATTCACTTTTCATTCAATCAGTCATTATTTTAATTCACTAATTATCTACCCACCCAACAAACCTTTCCTGGAACTAGGAAAACAATGAACATGCACACTCCCTTCCTCAAATCCCTCACAGCCTGCAGAGAAGAGAGACAAGCAGGTGGCTAGTCTAATCCCGTGTGAACGAGCCAACAGGTAGTACAGGTGTCCTGGGAGTGTGGGTAAAGGGGGTTTGAGCTTGCAGAGTATGGTGGTGAGGGTGGGAGAACTTGGGAGAAGTCACAAGAGGAAGTGAGGTGAGGTCTGACAAGAAATGAGCAGGGTCCCAGATGGCCACACTGGCTGTGGATGTTCCAGCAGGAGGGAAAAGAGAAAAACTGTGGCATTTTGGGAACTCCTGGCACTTGAGGTTGGCAGGATGGCTATGATGCATGGTGAGGCTGGGACACAGACAGATACTAGATTATTAACCAAGACTGAAACATGCACACTTTGTCCTATGGGGCACAGGCACCAGGGGTGGGCTTAGGGCCCATGAGTGATGGGATCAGATTATCTTTGTTGTGGTATGATCCATCCATGCCAGGAGGTCCCACCTGCTCAGCTGAAGGCTCCTTGTCCATCCCTGCAGTCTCCCAGAATCCACGAACACCAGTCTGAGCTCCCACAGAGCTTCTCTGAGCTGGTTCCAACCCTCTATGAGCTCTGGGCACAGCGCTACACACAGGTGCAGGTGATGGGGATTGAGAACTGTAGCCTCTCAGCCTGCTCTGGGCCGAGCTGACACGCACTCGGGGTGGAAGGACAGAGCTGCTCTGGGGGACCAGACGTCCTCTCTGCTGAGCACCTCCTTAGTTTCCCCTCCTCTTTCTGCTTCCTGCTGTTGGACTGTAACATGCCTGGAGCTGATGTGGAGGCCAGTGCAGGAAATGGGCTGTGTCCTTGCGGTGAGCAAAAATCTGGTTGATGAACACTGCATGGTAGAATCAGACAAAAAAGAAAAACATTAAACAGAACAAATACTAAAAGACTAGCTTCCTTGAAAACTACAGGTAACAGGGATAATATCTGCAGGTTCTTACCTCTGTCTTGGCGCCTGCAAACACATTATTTCATTAGAATCACACAGGTGATACCCATTCCCCACCCCCACTGAGCACAACTGAAACGTTCACAAAATAGGGTGGGGTGCCAGATTTAGCAAATAAGTTTATTAATCTGAAGTTCAGATAAACAACAAATTATTGTTTAGTATAAAAATGCCCCAAATGAACATACATATATGGATACATATTTATCTTAAATTTAAATTTAACTGAGTATCTGTATTTCTTCTGCTAATATTACAAGAATGGACAAGAATTACTATTTCCATTTGGCAAAGGGGGAAACTCTAGCCCAGGGAAGTAAGGTAACAATTCAGCCCAATAAATATTTCCCCAGAGCTGACACAGGAAATGTGTGTCAAGAATTGACTTAGGTGTTAGCGACACATGGGTTCTGCCAGCCATGTTCTCTGTCCAGCTGGAGAGAAAAGTGGACACAAAAATAGACAATTACCATACAGTGTCATTAACACACAACCCACTAGCATAGAAGGAACCACAGGGTGGGATTCGATGGGAGCCTATGTGAAAGATGCTCCTAGCATGGGTCTCAGGGAAGCTTTCTGGGGCAGAGGATGCCTAGCAGCCTTGATAAATAAGCATGAATTACCCAGGAGGAGGAAGTGGAGAATACTGCCAGTCCGTAAGTCAGTGTATGCTGGGGGCCAGGATCTTTCCAGAAGGGGGTGGGAGCACAGGGCCAAAGGGGGCGTCATGTCGCTGTGGAGGCCTTTGCTGGCTGTCCTCCGTCTCATGACTCACTGCCACTCTCTCCTTGCCCTCTAAGGTGTGGGGCAGAGCCTGTGCGCGAAGCTGCTTTGTGCCTGTGACCAGACGGCAGCCGAGTGCATGGCCTCTGCCTTCTTTAACCAAAGCCTCCAGGCACCAGGCAGACTAGAGTGCCAGGGCGGCCGGCGCTCCTGCGAGGACAGCCTGCACGGAGGGCCGTCCGCCTCCTCCCTGGGCTCCAGCTCTGAGGAGAACAGCGAGGAGGCCTCACCCCACACGGGGGGCCTGAGAAGAACCAGAAGATCTCTGGGGAAGTCACCCGGTCCCGTGGGGCCCAGCCCACAGCATGGTCCCTGACGGGCCCCGAGGAAATGACGAGCACACCCTGCAGCTCTGTTGCCCACTTACTGTACCTCTTCGGGGCTCCGTCTGTCCTCAGCAGAGGCTCACAGGGAAGAGGCAGCCAGACCCTGGCACACATGCATTGATCTGCTTGTCAGCTCACGTTCTACTGTGCATTTGGAGAAGGCAGATCGGGGTAGTTCTACCCTTCCTGTAGTGCCCTGTGGAAGCTCAATAAATACGCCAATCAATGTCTGTTTGGGTTTTGTTTTGAAGAGATGCTGTAGATACTGGTGCATGAATAGACTGCAAAGGTGAGATGACAGAGCAATGGAGGGAAAACATGACCTCCACGCCCTCACCACTGAAAGCTGCTTTTCCTTCTGTTTTAAAAAAATAATAGAAAGGAGTATATTTAATCCATCTTATGAGGTCACCTATGGGTCAGCAATAAGCCACCAAAGATCAGTGCCAAAGACTGGGATGACAGCTCTTCTGGTGTGTGCCCTAAGAAAACACTTGCCATTCTAGTTATTAAGAGTGGCCATGTGCTGCAGTCACCACATGAGAACCTCTGCTCACCCTGTCTTGGGCTCTGGACTTTTTTTTTTAGTAGGGTTATCCCAGTGGCTGGGAGGCTGAGGGATGCAAATGCCCACTCTAACATAGGCAAATCAGTATTATGGTAGTTGTAAAAAACTGAAATTATACCCATCCATCCCTCCACCCATGCACCTGGTAGTTAATGAGGTTTTACTGTGTACCAGGCAAAAGGCAGTGAGCTACCAAAATCCCCCTCAATACTTGATAGACACACAAACTCTTTGGTTCTCACCACATCCTTGGTTCCCAACCTCCATAAATCATGGGTCCTACAGTGAGATGACACTGAGTCCCTGCCAGCACCTCGTGTAGATTGGACAGCAGAGCCTCTAGAGTTCAGTGTTTGCTGACCTCATTGCAGGAAAATACCCGTAAGTTGGCAACACCTTAAGACATCGAAAGGTCTTGGTGCCAAACCAACAATTGATGTCCTTCCCTACCTTCCAGGGACTCATGTGATCAGTGCCTTTCGATGAATCCAACACACTGGAATTTTTTAAAAATAATGTGACCTTAACTGATAGGCTAAGTTTGGAAGCTCCCAGAAGTGAACCGTCTGACAAGGACTCGAGAGCAAGCGGTTTGGGAAGTGAAGGAGAGCAGAGTGAAGTGAGACAGGGCTGGAGGGTAGCCAGCAGAGGGCGCATTGCCTCTGGTGGTATTTCCTTCTGGCCTGCTGCTGCACACGGGGGCAAAGTGGGCTCCAGTGGCCAGAGAAAGCCTTCTGCAGGTGAAGAAAAGCAGGTTCTAGCACGCATACAGTGGTGAAGGTGAGGCATACCACCGATGGCATTTGCTCACTGGCTAGCTCCTCCCTCCCTTCCTTTAACCCAGCAGGCACTTACTGTGTCCACTCCCCATGGCTGTCGCTGTGCCAGCCTGCCCACCCACCCACATGTAAGGTGACCATCAGCCTTCTCATGTCTTCACCTGAGGCAGGTGAATTCCGCTGAAGCAACTGAGCTGACCCACTTCCCTCTTAATGACCACAAACCTCACACGGATACTCCACCTTTTCTTAGTAAATAGGCTTTTCTGCTCTCCAAGCCGACTGTTCAGTCCCTTCTCTCCTCTCCTCAAAGTCCCTCACCTCCCTGTCACTCTCAGCTGATGACTGTCAAGAGCCATGAAGACAATATCTTCACCTGTGCATTTGAAGAAGGTAGACAGGGTAGTCCTAGATCCTAAGAAGGGCCTGAGATTCCACCTTACTTGCAACTTAACAAGTTGGCCTGCATATCGTGGATGCTGGCAGAATACACAAGACCCTGGGGTCAGAGATGAACTTTACCTCCAGCAATGGCAGTAGCTTGAGCATCAGCATTTATGCTGGTTCCTCCAGCCCTGAAGCCATGCAAGGTCAGTGACACCTACACACATTGCTTTCTTGTTCCAATGAAGTGTTCCTTACTCGTGTCAAAGGTCATCTCCCCATGTTCCGGGTACAATGCCCTATTGCTTTCTCTGGGGTTTGAGTCCTGCAAAATTTCCTCTGTATTCTATTTATCAATTTATCCCTTTTTCCTGAACCATTCGAATCAACAGGGCAAACATGCCCCAAACTCCCACCTTTAAAAATCCCTTCTTTGACTCATTAAGCAAGATAGAGGAAACTGAAATTACATGTCTGATGCTCCTAGTCTTGTCCTTAAATACCAGGCTCTGTGGTGCTGAACTGGCCATGGTTCGCCTGACTTCACACCATCGACTCACCACCTCTTACTCAGACAATGCTGTGGTACCCTGTTCCTCACAGGTACTCCCATACATCTTGTGTTCTGACACAGCACTTCTCTGGGATGAGGCATGGGACACCTTGGGAAAGTGCTCAGCACTCAAGCACACATAATGCAGACACGGGGAGTTAATGTCAGCAGGGTGACCTGTGACCATGAAGATCAGAAGCCAAGGGATGCAGGCTTCCCTGACTTCCACCACCTGCATGGACAGTTCTGAGATTACTTCTTGAGACTCTTTAGCATGTCCAGTGGGATGGATCTCCAATTACCTACAGTGATGGCCAATTCCTAGATGAAGCCTCTTAGTGAGCTTTTTCTCCTTCTATTTCACTGGTCTAGTCCCTTGCTGGGCTTCCCTGGGATCACCTCCCAGAGTAATCCCTGCATGAAAGCCTTCATCTTAGGCTCTGCTTTAGGAGAACCTAGGCTAAGAGGGTGCCTTTCTAATATAGTCGGCCTCTAACTCAAAGTGCAAATAAAGGGCGATACAGCAGAAGCAAGAGGCAGTTCGATCCTCCCACCTTGGCTCTGCTTTCCTTTCTGCTGTGTATGATTTACACAGCAGGGAGACGCGCTGAGATACCAACACTGAGCCTGGGGCAGAGACGGCGACCACGCTTTCACGAGCCCGCACCATGAACTTTCTCTCAGCTCCATCCCATCCTGACTGGCGGTTACGGTTCTGCAACTTCCAGTGATGTGAGGGTGAATCCACTTGGCAAACTTCATTTTTACTAGAGCTCCTACTTTTTAACCAAAACAAAGTACAAAATAATGTAATAGCTATTACAAAATGTACTTTACACAGAAATAATCTGATTTTGTTTTACTGCTTACATAAGAATTGCAAAGTGAATTTTTACACTTCAGAGAACTTACTTTATTATATTTATTAAATATATTGGCGTGAATAAGAAATTGGTTACATTTTCAGTCAGGAAGAAGGAAAACTTTGAAAAGGGGGACATTAATTGCTGATAAAATATACTATTATTACTCTAAAAGATAATAATTCAGGAGTATGGAGTGAGTGTGAGTGAGTGTGTGTGTGTGTGTGTGTGTGCGCGCGTGTGTGTTTGGGTTAACTCCAATGACAAGTTCCATATACGTCAAAAACAACACAAATATAAGGAACACTGAAATGTTAACTATTTAATGTCAAGAAAACAAATGAAATAAGCAACTGTATACAGCAAAAAGAGAATGATTAAGTTTATTTAAGAGTTTTAAATATCTACAAAAATAGAGTAATACAGTGAACTTCAACAAATCCTAAATTTTCCATCTCCAAACTGGCTGTAATACAGTATGCACACCTATTACCTGCTGGATCCTCTGCAATCTCCTGCAAGGAACAGGGCAAAGAAAATATCCATTTCTTGGGAATAACTATTAACAAGACAAGTTCAGCAATCTAGGATATACAGAAGTCTACTGTGATTTAAGAATGACAACAAGGAAAAAAACCCACAAACCCACACCAACAGTTTACAAACAGACCAAGAGAAAGGTGTGATAAACGTTAACTCAAATGGTTTTCCCTTAACATGCAATACATGCATTTTTAAGTCACAGAGAAACATGAATTTTTGTAGAGCAAAGTTTGTTTTGCATGAGTGCAAATGTGTATCTTTTCTTATACTATTAAATTATATTTTTCATACAAAAGCACACAGTGTTAATCTATAAAATGACATCCAAGTGGATGATGATTGTTTTAGCATGTCCTCCTTAGATTTTTTAAATGCATAAATATTAATATCCTTCTTTAAAAATATAGAAGAAAAAAGGGAAATAAAAAGCATAAAACCACCTAAACAGTAAAACGTTTGGCCTGTTCACAAGGCAGCTACGGTGACAGCTGCAATGGGGTCACCTAACCCTCCATGGCGCCCGCATGTATTGATTCTGATAACAAGGTTTTGTTTATCTACATGTACTAACCTAGAGCCCAGGATTGTCTGAGATCATTTTACTGGTTTAAATGACTAGGATCTTTTGTAAGACACTTCAAGATGCTGTATTTTGGTTTAAATTTTCAAAAAATCTTGGGTATGCTTGCTCTATTATCACTTTGTCTTGGTGCCAAACCAACAATTGATGTCCTTCCCTACCTTCCAGGGACTCATGTGATCAGTGCCTTTCGATGAATCCAACACACTGGAATTTTTTTTAAATAATGTGACCTTAACTGATAGGCTAAGTTTGGAAGCTCCCAGAAGTGAACCGTCTGACAAGGACTCGAGAGCAAGCGGTTTGGGAAGTGAAGGAGAGCAGAGTGAAGTGAGACAGGGCTGGAGGGTAGCCAGCAGAGGGCGCATTGCCTCTGGTGGTATTTCCTTCTGGCCTGCTGCTGCACACGGGGGCAAAGTGGGCTCCAGTGGCCAGAGAAAGCCTTCTGCAGGTGAAGAAAAGCAGGTTCTAGCACGCATACAGTGGTGAAGGTGAGGCATACCACCGATGGCATTTGCTCACTGGCTAGCTCCTCCCTCCCTTCCTTTAACCCAGCAGGCACTTACTGTGTCCACTCCCCATGGCTGTCGCTGTGCCAGCCTGCCCACCCACCCACATGTAAGGTGACCATCAGCCTTCTCATGTCTTCACCTGAGGCAGGTGAATTCCGCTGAAGCAACTGAGCTGACCCACTTCCCTCTTAATGACCACAAACCTCACACGGATACTCCACCTTTTCTTAGTAAATAGGCTTTTCTGCTCTCCAAGCCGACTGTTCAGTCCCTTCTCTCCTCTCCTCAAAGTCCCTCACCTCCCTGTCACTCTCAGCTGATGACTGTCAAGAGCCATGAAGACAAAATCTTCATCTGTGCATTTGAAGAAGGTAGACAGGGTAGTCCTAGATCCTAAGAAGGGCCTGAGATTCCACCTTACTTGCAACTTAACAAGTTGGCCTGCATATCGTGGATGCTGGCAGAATACACAAGACCCTGGGGTCAGAGATGAACTTTACCTCCAGCAATGGCAGTAGCTTGAGCATCAGCATTTATGCTGGTTCCTCCAGCCCTGAAGCCATGCAAGGTCAGTGACACCTACACACATTGCTTTCTTGTTCCAATGAAGTGTTCCTTACTCGTGTCAAAGGTCATCTCCCCATGTTCCGGGTACAATGCCCTATTGCTTTCTCTGGGGTTTGAGTCCTGCAAAATTTCCTCTGTATTCTATTTATCAATTTATCCCTTTTTCCTGAACCATTCGAATCAACAGGGCAAACATGCCCCAAACTCCCACCTTTAAAAATCCCTTCTTTGACTCATTAAGCAAGATAGAGGAAACTGAAATTACATGTCTGATGCTCCTAGTCTTGTCCTTAAATACCAGGCTCTGTGGTGCTGAACTGGCCATGGTTCGCCTGACTTCACACCATCGACTCACAACCTCTTACTCAGACAATGCTGTGGTACCCTGTTCCTCACAGGTACTCCCATACATCTTGTGTTCTGACACAGCACTTCTCTGGGATGAGGCATGGGACACCTTGGGAAAGTGCTCAGCACTCAAGCACACATAATGCAGACACGGGGAGTTAATGTCAGCAGGGTGACCTGTGACCATGAAGATCAGAAGCCAAGGGATGCAGGCTTCCCTGACTTCCACCACCTGCATGGACAGTTCTGAGATTACTTCTTGAGACTCTTTAGAATGTCCAGTGGGATGGATCTCCAATTACCTACAGTGATGGCCAATTCCTAGATGAAG